AAAAAAAAAAAAAAAAAAAAGAATAAACAAATTGGCGGGCCGGCCCGGCGGCGCCTGGGATAGTGCGCCGCTTGGGAGGCGCGGCGGCGCTCCCGCCCGAGGGTTCGGATCCCACGTATGGACCGGTTCCCGCTCACTGGCTGGGCGGGGCGCGGGAGCAGCGCCGAGGGTTGCGGTCCCGTTGCCGGTTGCCGGTCCCCGGTCCGGTGCGGGGGCAACACTGAGGGTTGCAATCCGTTGCCGGACACGGAAAAAGACAAAAGACAAAAAAAAAAAAAAAAAAAGAATAAACAAATTGGCGGGCCGGCCCGGCGGCGCCTGGGATAGTGCGCCACTTGGGAAGCACAGCGGCGCTCCCGCCCGAGGGTTCGGATCCCACGTATGGACCGGTTCCCGCTCACTGGCTGAGCGAGGCGCGGGAGCAGCGCCGAGGGTTGCGGTCCCGTTGCCGGTTGCCGGTCCCCGGTCCGGTGCGGGGGCAACACTGAGGGTTGCAATCCGTTGCCGGACACGGAAAAAGACAAAAGACAAAAAAAAAAAAAAAAAAAGAATAAACAAATTGTCATTTTTATTTACAAATGCAGTATGTTATAGAATAACCAAATTGTCATTTTTATCTTATTAGAACTTGCCCGGAGTAGACATTTCAGAGTCGTACTCTTGGAAAAACTTGCTTGATAGTCACCAGTTGACCCTGTTGGAAATGCTGGTTTGTTTGTTTTTTGATGCATTGTTGCAGTAATTGGTTTAACTGATTGGTCTCTCTCCTCCCAGTGCAAGAACTACATCAACCAGTATTCTGAAATTGCTGTCCAAATGGTGATGCATATGGTAGGTGGTGGGGAAGCCCCCTGTTAGCCTTTGTCTTTGCTTCAAATTTTTTGATTTCTTTTCTTTCTTTTTTTTTTTTTTGAAGACGACTGGTAAGGGGATCTTAACCCTTGACTTGGTGTTGTCAGCACCAGGCTCTCCCAAGTGAGCTAACCGGCCATCCCCTATATGGGATCCAAACTTGTGGCCTTGGTGTTGTCAGCACCACACTCTCCCGAGTGAGCCACGGGCCGGCCCCCAAATTTTGTGATTTCTAGGAATTTAGTTTCCCTTTTTCACCACGGAGTACTGAAAAATGAATCCTCTTTGACCAGCAGACTCCCTGCAGCTTCAGTATCTCCCCCTTGCCAGGGGAAAGGCTGAAGCAGCTTGATTCCCAGGACTGCCCTTGTGGCTTCCTGGTGATTTGTCTGCCTGTGCATGTGCGAGCTGGCCGTCAGATCTCTAGACGTGGCTTAACCCTGGGATCCATAGAAATAGTCTGCTCTGTAACTAAGCCCCACCTGAGAACTGCTGCGTTGAGGCCTTGGTTTGAGGGAGCTTGGGGGGGAGCCCTGCCTCCTAGAGTTGGTCCTGTGCACTGCAGCAGTGTCAGCTACTGCTGGAACCCATAACTCCTACAATGGCTTCTGGTGCATCCAGATAGAAGGGACGTTCCTTCAGTGGATGTAGAAAACATTCATCATAGGGGACGAGCTAGCCAGCCCCATGTGGAAGACTGTCATACAGAGCATTGGGAACTGGCACTGGCCTCCGTAGATCTAATCAGCAGGGCCAGCGAGAGTGTGTCTGTGTATGGGCAGGGGGCTTCCAAATTTTCCTCTTTGTCACGCTCACTTTCTCACTACGTTGAGATTGGTGTACAGTTCTTTAGTTTATTCTCTAATCCAGGGGTCAGTAGATTATGGCCCACCACTTGTTTTGTAAATAAAGGGTTTTTTTCCGCCCATTTTATGCTACAGCAGTACAGCTGAGTGGTCACAATTGAGACTTTATGGCCCGCAAAGCCCCAAAGATTGACTCTGTAGGTAATCCATCCAGGCAAAATACTTTTTCTCATTATAAAAGTTATACTGTGTAGAAATTTTTTGAGAATATGGATAATATGTCCCACATGGAAAATCATTTGGGATTTTAAAAAACATCAGTGGGGACCATATCGTATATACTACTTTGTGCTTCATATTTTTTTTTGCCGACTACTATATTGATTGTTAGATATTCTTATACAAATCATTTTTAAGTAGCTGCTTCATAATCTACTGTGTAGACAAAACATAATCTATGTAACCAGTGCCCTATGGCTGGATGTTTAGGCTGTTTTCAGGTTTGCCCTTGGGATGATGGACATCCTTATAGCCAAATATATATATGTATATCTGTGCACCTCCCTCTTTTTTCCCTTAGTGTAGATAAGTCAAGCTGGAATCCCAGGATCAAAGTGCAAGGCTTTTGATCAGTTGTCAAATTGGCCTTCCAGGCCGGTATTTGGCCACCTGGGGCAGATTGCCATGAGGCCTGGATGGTAGAGAATGTGGTTCAGAGTCCCTGGCCTCTCGAGGTGCATTTATAACACACACCCCTTATTTGGGCATCCCTAAGTCTTATTCCATTGTGCTGCTCATCCCTAATCTGTGGGAAGGGCCTGTGGCCTGGTGGGCTGAGACTCCTGAGGATGGAGACTGTATTAGTCAGGGTTCTCCAGAGAGACAGAATTAATAGGGTATGTTATAATTATATGAGAGGGATTTATTAGGGGAATTAGCTCACATGACCATGAAGAAAAGTCCCACGATAGGCCATCTATGAACTGTATGCCGGTAGCGTGGCTCAGTCCAAGTCCAAAGGCCTCAAAACTAAGGAAGCTGATGGTGTCCTTGGTGTAAGTTCTGGAACCCAAAAGCTGAAGAGTCTCAAGCTCTCATGTCCACGGACAGGAGAGAAGAGTGTATCCCAGCTCCAGCAGACTGAGAGAGAGCTTCACCACTTTCCTCTGTCTTTTGTTCTCTCCGGACCCCCAGCAGATTGGATGGTTCCCACCGACACTGCGGAGTGTGTCTTTCCCACCCAGTCCACTCAGACTCTCACACTAATCTCTGCTGGAAACACCCACACGGACGCACCTAAAAAGATAGCTTTACCAGGTTTCTCAGCATTCCTTCATCTAACCAAGTTGACACCTAGAATTAACCTTCACAGAGACCCTTCATAAAGTAGTGTTTCCTGGGGACTTTGCTGCACAGTGTTTTGAGCATGATTTAGTGTGTCACATATGGGGACAGTGCACATATTAGCTGGACAGACCTCAAGTGGTCTATCCCTGAGGGCCACAGTAGCTTCCAGGCCCCCTTGTCCACGAAATAATAGGAACAAGGTAAGTTGCTGATGTCTGACTGCAAGAGCGTCTCCCCTAAACTTTTTGTGACATCCTTACACCTGGTTAACTGCTTGATTGTTGTTTTATTTTTTTCTTAACTGTTATATCCTTTCCTTTCTCTTATTTTCGTCTTCAACTTCCTGTTTTTTTGTTCAACAGCAGGATCAGGTATGTGTTGGGGGATTTGCTTGTAGTAGTGGGCTGCTGCTTCTCCTAGATATTTTGCTTTTTTTTTTTTTTTAATGGCATGAATCAGCTCTGACAGATACAAGGACTGGCTTTGAAAGGCAGGATCCCTCTCTATTAATAGGCTGGGAGAGCTTTTGCATCTTTCCCCTGGGATTTAGCACTTGAGATATTGGGAGTCTCATCTCCCCTTCAGGGGGCTGGAAAATGAAGCCAATAGAGCCTTGCGCTCTAGTCAGAATCAGCACACGGCACGCACACGTGCTGGCCACCAGTGTGATGATGGGGACCATGGTGGCCCCATAGGTGCCTCACCTTCCTTCCATGTAGGCCTGACTTCTGGTGGGACACCTTGTGTCTGTCGCAACGCGAGTGGGCATTGCATGTCTTTAGTGCTGTTCTTCGTAACCCCAGAAGTGCTTCTGCTGTATGAGCAAATCATTTGCAAACAGCCAGCATGCTGTTCCCTGGCTGTTGAATCCAGAGAGTTGGAAACGGTCTCTTGATTGTAGCTTCTGCCCCTCTGGGTGATGGGGTCCTTTGGGATCTGGAGCCACAGGAGATGGCATGCTATGGGAACCGAAGCCGCAGTCCATGCTTGCTCTGAGCCAGTGCCCTTTGGGGGCTGTTCTGAACATTGCCCCCTTCTGAGCATTGGCATCGATCTCTAGGATTAGAATTACAGATTTTCCCAAGGTATTTTGAAGTCTAATGGGAGAGGACTTTAGTTGAAATTCCTGACTTTTCACCCAGGCCTCCTCAAGGAGTTAGAACAAAGCTGATCCTGAACAAAAGCAGCACATACCTCCTGAATCTTGGCGTCTTTTTTTCTAAAAAGCTTGCTATATCTTCAGCTTTGTTCTGATTTTTTCCCCTCCATTCTTAAGGTGTGCCAAAGTCAGGGTATTTGGGATATATTTTTAAGATTCTCCCAACTTTATTTAATTCTAGAGCCTTCTGGATATTAAAACAAGATGAACCACAGTCATGGTCTAGCCCTCTTTTCTTCACAGGTCCCGTATTAGCAATCTGTTCCCTCTGCTTCAAGGCTTGGTGCTGGGGGTCGGATGCCATCAGGCCCAGAGCTAGTTGCTGGTTGCATTTGATTTACACAGCATACAGGGCATGTATACTTGTCTCGCTCTTGGCCATGATCGCGTGATGGTCAAGATGTCCAAACTGTGTGTCATTCTCTGTGGTTTGGTGTCTAGATGGTGAAAGGGGATCAATCTGGAGACCTTGTGACTTGAAATTATTCGTCAGTTTGGGGGGTTGGGTTTTCATGTGTATTGTGTGTAGTTGTGAACGTAGAATATGGTTTTTAAAAAAGCCAACATTTCCCCTTAATGCATCATTTTAAATGGTCCTGCCACTGAAAGATTTGGTATGGTTTCCTAGCACATTTGGCTTTCTGTTAGTTTCTGGGCATGGTAGCTCCCTCTCTTGAAGGAACATACAGCTTACTTCCTACTGAGAGAGGGCTGGAAAATGCATTCTGAACAGACCAGGTGTCCTTGGAGGTATGGAAGGTGCTGGGGAGTCTTCCTTCCTTAGGGTGGCCCTGGTTGGAGCAGCAGGGACAGTGGCCCTGTCGCATGCCCCTTCAGAGCTTTGCATGGCCTCTTCCCCAGACGTAACTGGTACACAGGCTCTGCTTCTGGACATGAGCCCTTTTAAATTGAATCTGCAGTCTCTACCCATCTTGGGAGAGAGTCAGCCTTGACAGTGGGACCAGGGTGGTCCCCAGTGCCTTGATCTTTGTGTACAGAGAGTGAGACTGAGGGGTGGTGGGCGTAGGCCTATGTCTGACTGGTGGTTCTGTGCTCTCTCCAGCAACCCAAGGAGATTTGTGTGCTGGTGGGGTTCTGTGACGAGGTGAAGGAAATGCCTATGCAGACTCTGATCCCTGCCAAAGTGGCCACCGAGAACATCATCCCTGCCCTGGAACTGGTGGAGCCCATTAAGGTATCGTGTTATTGTGTATCCGCTGGGGCTGCATGACACCCCACCACACTCTGTGAGCCACATGCTTCTTTTGGTGCCCTGCCTGGCATCAGAAGCTTTTGTGTTTGAGACCTCTAGTTTACACTCTCCTCCATACTGATGCAGCCCCTCGCCCTGAGTTCTTTCAGAAACACTTATTTCCTTCATTATAAACCTTGGTGTTTCATGGGGTCAAATCTCCGTCTTTCTGTGTATGCCATTCAAGGTGAGTTTTCAGTTCCTGGCTTCAGCTTAACCTTTTCACATGCACTTTCTGGGTCCTTCTCATACTGTAGCCGTAGCACAAACTTGACACTCCCAGAATGCCCCCAGAGCTTCTGGGGAAGCCTCCCTGGGCCTGCCGCCTGCATGTGTGCGTGCAGGTGTGCATTTTGTTTCCCTTGCTTGGTAGAGATCCTGCTACTTCATTCCATGATAAATTTGTATTCAGCACTTCTTATGGGCCAGTGTTTCAGGAGTTATGGCGAACACGTGACATCCTTGTGCTCATGGGGCTTGCATCCTAGTTCTTCAGGGCCAGGCCACATGACACCCTCACATGTGGCCCATGTGCACACTTCTCGTTCCAGAACATCCTGTGGCTCTTGACCACTGGCCATCTCGTCTCTTTTCTGCTGTCTTTTCTCTGCATGTGCAGAGTGTATGGCCCACAGGAATGGTTGAGGGGTCAGATGGAGTCAGGGAAAGACTGCTTCCTGCCTCTCCTTCCCACAAGACACTCCTAGGCCCCAGCCACCCACCCTGCGAAAAACGAACGAGAGTTATAGTTTGCACTCTGATCACATGTGACCACTTAAATGAAATTAAGCAAAACTAAAAATTCAGTTCCTGTTTTACACCAGCTACGTTTCAAGTGCTCAGTGGACATGTACGTAGCTAATGCCTACTGTATCGGACAGCAGAGATAGAGAATGTTTCCACTCTCACAGGAAGTTCTACTGAACAGTGTTGCTTGATTAAAGGTAGCTTCTAGAAAAGCCATCTCAGGTGCTAATGAGACTTGGGAAACTCAAGAGCAGACCTGAAATGTGTTCAAACCTCTTGTTGTCTAAATAGTAGACTGACAGTGAACCCTTCACTCTGTTCTGTTCCCCCATCCACCACCCCAAATGAACACTGAATGACCAGATGATCATAACTGAACACACCGTGTGACAGCCCTTTGGGGTAGGGGAAGGGGGCTGTTTCCATCTCCTCCAGTATGGATTCCTGTTTCTTTTTCTTTGTAGGGAGTGGTGGGGAGGTGGCTTTGGTAGAGGATTGGGGAAAGGGATGGGTCCCCCACCATGAAAAAGACAGTAGGTAATTGAACTGAGACCTTGGGAAGAAGCCACACGTCATTTGAATTCAGTAGGCAATGGCTCTTGGTGTGACGCTAACCCACCCTTGTCTCCGCATCCCTCCCCTTCAGGGGAGCAGGACCAAGGAGTATGAGTCCCAGCATGAAAGTGTTCTCCTCCTGCACTTTCCACAGAAGGACCTGGTCCAGGCCAAGGCCGACGTGTACTGCGAGGTGTGTGAATACGTGGTGAAGGAGGTGGTCAAGCTGATTGACAGCAACAGGACTGAGGTATGCTGCCCTCGTAGCAGAAGGAGGCCTTCTGTCCCCCAAATCAGAGTGTCCCAGTGGGAGAATCCAAAGGAAGAGGGGGTTTAACACCAGCCCAGGAATGCATATAGCTGTGTCTTCATCTTGTCAAAGGCACTTCCCACTAGGGGATCCCTCTGGGCTGGGGCTGGGGTGGCCACCTTTCCCCACTGTGTAGCTCTGGTCTTTGTAGCTTTGTAGTCCTTTAGGAGAGGACATAGCACCTCACCAATGGCCAGTTTCCTGGTCATGTTAGTATTTTCAGAATCTCTCCCACCCCTGCCCAGCCTCCTGTCTTCTCCCGTGACCCTCTCATCTTGTTGCAGGAAGAGATAATCCACGCTTTGGATAAAGTGTGCTCAAAATTGCCTGCGTCCTTGTCGGAAGAGTGCCAAGAGGTAGTGGACACATACGGCAGTTCTATCCTGTCGATCCTCCTGCAGGAGGCGAGCCCTCAGCTGGTGTGCAGCATGCTCCACCTCTGCTCCAGCCAGGGGCTGCCTGCGCTGACTGGTGAGCCCAGGGCCTGGTTGGGGAGAGCACGGCGCCCCTCATGGATTGGGGAGGCCCTGCCAGTGCTGAGCCCTGTGCCCTCTTGTGTAGCTCACGTGACTCAGCTGCAGGATGGTGGCTTTTGTGAAGTGTGCAAGAAGCTGGTTGGCTATTTGGACCGCAACCTGGAGAAAAACAGTACCAAGCAGGAGATCCTGGCTGCCCTTGAGAAAGGCTGCAGCTTCCTGCCCGAACCTTACCAGAAGCAGGTATGTCCTAGGCTGTTCCAGGCCACAGTGTCAGAGCCTGTCTAAGGCATGCAGAGGCTGGGGCAGCTCCCTGATTGTACTCCCTATTGAAGTTTGGGGGGAAAACCAGCTGTGTCTGCCTCCAGGCGTGGAGTCCAGTGAGATTTTACTTAGAGATGATTGGTTGGCTCAGGTGGAGCCACTGGGGGGAAAAAACCTGAGCTCAAGGCCAAACTGGTTGGGGTATCTGGGGAGGGAGGCCCCAGGGTTCACTGGGCTGGGAATGTCAGGGATTATTGGAGAAGAGCTTGTCAGTGCCTGTCCAGGCCTTTTGTGCACCTACTCTGGACACACCCAGACCTGGTCCTGTGTCCCTGTTTCACTTGACAGTGCGATCAGTTTGTGGCTGAGTATGAGCCCGCGCTGATAGAAATCCTAGTGGAGGTGATGGAGCCTTCCTTCGTGTGCTTGGTAAGCTTCGCTGGGCCGCTATAACCGGGGAGGGCCGCGTAGACCTGGAAGGGTCTCCCTGAGACTTTTGGCCGTGGGGCGGAGTCTGTAGGGGTGGGAGGTGGGAGAGGCACAGAGGTGCAGAACCAGCCTCTTGGCCCCATTGCTCTACTCAGCAGCCCTGATGTTCTTTTGAAAGAGCAGGTCAGAGCTCCGATTCCACCTACTTCTGATAATCTTAGTTTTGAAAGGGAAGAATTGGACAGCTCTACTCCTTCCTCCTCTTTTTGTCCTTTTTTCACTATATAGAAAATTGGAGCCTGCCCGTCAGCCCATAAGCCTCTTTTGGGAACTGAGAAGTGTGTCTGGGGCCCAAGTTATTGGTGCCAGAACACGGAGACAGCAGCGCAGTGTAACGTGAGTAGCTCAGCAGACGCTCCCCAAGCCCGCCTTGCCCCCAGGGAGATCCCTGCTACAACAGGAGCCTCAGTGATCAGCCGTCTACCCTGGTGTTCTGTAGGTGAAAAAACTGAGGCCCAGAGAGGCAATTAGGCTTGGTCATGGCTGCCCAGAAAAGGCAAGGCTAACTTCACCCTTGTCTTAAGAGAGTCAGGGTGGGGTGGACATTCGTTAGTGTTTTTTGCTTCTGCTTTCTTGTTTTTGTGTTCAGTTCCCTTGTGACAGTGTCAGATTTGCACGAAGTCACCACTGCAGGGATTGCACAAGGCCTGTGGGACTCATTGCTGAGACCCTTGCACAAGTCCTTTTGTCCCTCCCTGGGGGCACCTTTGTCCAGGCTGGAACCTGGCCCGAATCTTCACTCAAGGACAAGCAGAGTGCTTTTTCAAAGGCCCGGAGAGTTTCCCCCTGCCCAGCAGCCCCATTGTGCCATGGCACTCTGGGCAGCCACCATTTGGGCGACCTATGCTGCTTTCCTGGATGAGGATGTTTGGCCGGGTCCCTGTTACTTAATGTTCCTTTGTGCAACATTTTCTTCCTTGCTGGGGTTGTGACCATGTCAAGGGAGGTTGTGTCATCCTGGGCCACTGCAGGGGGGGGCAGAGAGGCCCACAGCCTGGCCACGTTCAGCTCCTTCTTCCATCCGGGCCCCCACCCATCTGTGTCGTCACCCCAACCCCACAGCATGGCCAGTGGTAGAACAGGCTGTGCCGCTGTCCTGGGTGAATATGCCTGTGGGTCCACTTCTCGAGGTTTGGGTTGGTGCGTACCCCAGCTGTTGGGTGAGGAGGTTCTGCCTCAGGGGTCCCTGAGCAGCCAAACAGCAAGATGCTAGAGCCAGGTGTAGGTAAACGACAGGTCTGGTGCCCTGCCGTCATGGGCACTTGTCTGCAAAACACAGGCGGGCTTTGCATCTGCTGCTTTGGACTCTTGCCTTATGAGTCCCCAAAACTGATGGCCACCATGCCCCCTGGTTTTAAATGAAATGCTGTCCTAGGTCTTGGGCGTCTGGTGCTATCCTCCTAACATAGGACGAGATACCAGGTCCTATTTTTGGGTAATGTTGGATGCACTAATGGGCCAGGAATGGAGTTTGTCATCTGAAGACTAAACCCAGTTTCCTCTCTTCTAACAGGCTGTCGAGCATTGCAAACGTCACGTGTGGAACTAGAAGAAACTCCTGCAGAAATCACAGCATCTTTTCCTACTTTGTGTGTCTGGGAGAATGAATGTGCACAGATCTGTTTGATTTTATTATTAAAATATGACACCCCCCCCCCCCCACCAGGAATGGAGTTTGTCATCTGAAGACTAAACCCAGTTTCCTCTCTTCTAACAGGCTGTCGAGCATTGCAAACGTCACGTGTGGAACTAGAAGAAACTCCTGCAGAAATCACAGCATCTTTTCCTACTTTGTGTGTCTGGGAGAATGAATGTGCACAGATCTGTTTGATTTTATTATTAAAATATGACACCCTCCCCCCCCAGACCTCCTCCAATCTTATCTCCCTTACTGTAGCACTGCTGTCTGCGTGGGAGGTGCTAGCCCCTGCTGATACAGCTGTTTTGTGTCCCTTTTCCCTCTGCTAGAAGGATGACAACGTAAGGTGCGCTGGAGGTCTTTTAGCCTGCCCTTGCATGGTGCCTGCTGGAGGAGGAGGAGGAGGTGAGGGCGCTCGAGGATGGCACAGGCCGGAGCTTGACAGGAGGAGGCTGTCCATCCTCCTGGCTGGGGCCTCCCGAGCGCTAACAGGTGCTTGGGCTTTTGAGGCCTCCTACCCTACGGAGGGACCCTCCCCATTTCCTGGACCTGTTGGCCACTGTGCAAAGCAGCAAAAGGAAGGCAGTTTTATGTAAAAGATTAAAATCTCAGATAATTAGGCTTCTAAAATAATGGAATTCCCACTGTAGTAGCAGATTTTAGAAGCAGTGGCTGGTGGTTTGGGATGTCAGTAGGGCAGAGGGTTCGCTGTTCCCAGGTCGACCCTTGATAAAGCTTTCCTTTGTCTTCACTTTGTGCTGCCCTGTTTGGAGTTCCATGGGTTTGGGCAGGAAGGGGAAAATCCACCTGAATGTAAGCTGCTAGCTGTGCGTGGAGGTCCTGTGGCCTGGCTTCTGTGTGAGCGTGTGAGCAGTGGTGACCGCCTGCTGCCTGCGTCTGTCCGCCCAGCTGCTGAGGCCGCGCTTTGTGTCCGTGCACCCCCCACCCCCATTTCATAGATGCTCTTTTGACCTTTCCTTTCAAATAAACGTGGATGGTAAGCTCCTAAGCCTCTGGCTTCCGGGTAGAGGGTGACAAGCTGAAGGGTCTGCCGGGTGTGGGAAGGGATGCTGTCCCGTCCCACCGAAGCCGCTGTCGCACTTCTGGTTGCCAGGAGAGAGCAGGCAAAGCCAGCAGCACGTGCAGTTGCTAGTAAATGGACTTACTGACTTTTGTTCGTTTTGCGTTAAAGTTTCTGTGACTTAACAATAAAGTTCTGTTAACTAGATCTGGGCCTGAGTGTTTCTGTGACACCTCAAGACCCCTTCAGTGTCTAGCAGTCCTATGGCCCCTCTTGGCCAGAGAAAGAAAGTGAAGCAGGTAAAAAAGTAGTCCTCCTGGCCCTCCCTGAGAGACCCAGGGTCAGCAGCGGGTCAGGGGAGCGCTTGGAGGTCAGCCCTGCCCCGCCCCCTTCAGCCCCTGCCCCGCCCCCCAGGCCAGCACGCAGGGAGTTTTCCAGAGCCAGTGTATTTGCCAGTTCCTTGTGAGTTGCTTTTCTTTTTAAACAGACCATTCCAGAAACTTTCAGTGAGTACCAGTTAAACAAAACCAAGGGAAAAATACTGAGGGAATAACTTAATTTGAAAAAGGAATACACACAAACACTCTACATTCAAAACCCAAGGGAACATCAGTCACTTCTCTTTGTAAGCTGGGCACATTTGGGAAGCCAGTGAAAATGGAGAGGATGCTTGTTCGTGGACATTGACCTTCTTGTCCATGTGGGGGGCAGGAGTCATTCACTGCCTCCACCAGGACATCCAGCAGGAACATGGCAGAAGTGCGGTGGGACTTGAACTGAAGTCAAGGGGCCGGGCCAGCAGGGGACACGGGCTCAGCCTCCGTCCCCTGGGTGCTGGGCTCCTCCGTGGGAGTGGGGATGGGGAGAGGGCCTGCTTGGCCTCTTTCAGCCCAGCCTGAGCTAAGCTGTCCTCAGACTCCTGGGCCCCCAGTGACCCTCCTTACTTCGTCCTTACACATTTATCATTTTTGTTTGGTTTTCTTAAAAAAATAACAGATTTTATGAAGGTAGAGATCAGATGCTGAATGAGCGTCTGGCAAGAGTAGGATCTGTCTGAGCAGGTGATGGGGCCGTCAGGGCCAAACCAAGGTCGTTCACCCAGAGCTGGCTTGGGGAGGGACCCAGACCCACCGGCCCCGCCCCTGCCTCTGCCCCAGGAGTGGGGAGTGGGACGGGTGCTGCTCCACCAGCAAGGCTTCCCCATCCAGTCATAGCTCTGTAATCTCCAGGGGGCTCTCCATGATCACGTCGCGGAGCTTGTGCAGGGGAGTGGATTTGGCGGACTCTGTGCGGGCATTGCGCTCCAGGGCTGTGGCCTCCGCAGCGGTCAGCGTCTCCAGTGAACGGCCCAGACCCTTCTGGTCATCCTCGGGCAGGCTGTTGAGGTCAGTGGCCAGCAGCGTGCCTGTGCTGCCATGTACCGCGTGGATCCCGCCGGGCCCCTTGAGCTCCACTGGTGGCTTATGGCAGAAGCGCAGGCTGCCCTGGCCTGGGCTGTGGTCCCCTGGCTCCTCCTCCAGCTCAGTCTGGATCAGCTGCAAGAGGCCAGGACCCCCCAGTGACTCAGGGGCCCCCCACATGCTCAGGGCCATGCCCAAGGGGTGAGTAGGTAGATGGCCCCAGAGTGCCACCTGCTATATGCCTGGCTCCTCCCTGCCTCACACAAGGAACTCTTAACAGTGCTTCTCAAACTGTGTGTAGAGGGGACCCATGGGTCCCTAAGGTGTTACAGTCATTTCCCCGGGAGTGTGGGCTTCCTATGAGAATCCTGAATTTTATGTATACTCTTACACGCTCTATAAAAATCCTGTGATGCAATTGTGGTATCTGGGTTTGTCACCAAGTTGGCCTCAAGCAGGACCAACTCTAATTGCATCCAGGTGGAAAGTGTCCCTGGGAGAAGTTGGGATAAATAGGGTGTGTGTCCTGCGTGGGGCTGTTCTGCTTCAGCCTGTTCCAGTTGAGAATGCGTGCCCAGCTGGAAACTGGTTTTTAGATAAAGTTAGACTTAAGAAAAAAATTTGTTAAAGGCTAGTCAAACGGAGAATGGGAGTGGGGAAGGAACAAAGAACCAGTTGTGCTCGATTAGTTGCAAACACACTGCGCTCAGAACTGCCCAAGTTAGACTAGCGTACCTATTGAAGTAATCACTGCAGGCAAATAGATGTAAGCCTGTTTGACCCTGACAGCCAGCTTCTTCAAGTGACATTCCCCCTCAGAGGTACCTTCCTGGGCTTCCTTGAACCTGAGAAACACTGCCTCAGAGCCCACTGCATCCCTGCGAAAGCCCCCCAGAGCCCAGAAAGCAGAGTGCGCTGTCTGACTTCCTGGACCCCCACCCCTTGCTCTCTTTAGCCCTGGCTGCTGAGCTCCAGAGACGCTGAGAAGGGCGGCAGGATGGCAAGAGAATAGAGGGCACCCCCAGAGCTGGGGCACTGCACACAGCTCCGGGCTTGCCCGGCTACCTCGGAGATGGAGGACTGGCAGGAGGAGGCTTTTTGCACCATCCGCTGTGCAAAGAGCTTTTTGAGCCGCAGGTAATCCTCCAGGACCACCTTCAGCAGCGAGCCCTGGGGAAGGGAGAGGATTAACCCCCACCAAGGCCCGCCCCTGGCTCTCTCCTTCTGGGAATCAAGGTGCACAGGTGTCCCACCCTAGGGGAGCACAGCCTGGTGACAGTGGCCAGCCAGAACCCACATTCTGGCTCTCTTGAGGCCACTGCAGGCTGGAGCAACTCCTCATCAGCCCCAGTGCCCATGTCTCTCTTTCAGCCCTGATGTGCTCACCCCTGTGGAGGGTAGCTCTGGCTGAGCCCTGAGGTTTCCACCTCCCTGCACCCTCTGGAGTGGGGTCCAAGTTAAGCTAGGGGTCTGGGTGCAAGAGCCTGCAGGGAGGGCTCACCTTGATGGGCCCCTCCCGAATAATCTGGCCCAGCTTGGCAATGTTATCGTACTCCTGAATGGCTGCCCGCAAGTACCGGTCATCGTCAGGTTTGACTGCTGCTGGCTCACGCCCAAAAGTTCCCTGGGGAGAGGGGACATTTGCTGGAGCAGAGGTAGACACCACACACATGCTCAGGGTAGGGGACCACCCCCCAAAGGACCCAGCTTCTTGGCCAGAGGTAGCGAAGACCTCCCTCTCCCCCCACCCCCCTCCCACTGTCTCTCCTGAGCACCTGCCCGCCTGCCCCTGGCTCTGGCCGGGCTCACGTGGGTGCGGGTGGGGCTGTTCCACAGGTCTGCAATCTCACTCAGGTTCTCCGGCAGGTCATCCTCGTGATCGGCCTGGGCTGCCAGCTCCAGGTTCCGGCAGAAGGGATCCAGCCACACCGGGTTGGCTCTGCAGTTGGGGAGTGCAATGGGGTGGTGCCAGGGGTAAGGTGCCATGGACAGATGCCCTCCCAGCCTCTCCCGAGCCCCTGCCTTTCCCCGGGGAACTGGAGGAGCGAGACATGGGGAGCAGGCCCCTTGCCTGGGGCACCTGCTGATGTGTCCTCCCACCCTACGATCCCGCTAGAACCAGGATGATGTGTCAGCCTGGATCAACTTTGGATTGGAGGCCTTAAACTTGGGCCCTGATCAGGGGTGGGGAGCCCTGCCCAGCAACGCAGTTTCTGAGGGTGGAGAGGGAGGGACTGCTCGACCACCAGGGGGTGCCCACACCCCAGGTTGCAGCCAGTCTGTGCTCTCAGTGTTGGGCAGGGGGCAGGGACTTGTCCTTTCCCACTGGGTCCAGATGGCTTGAGGACCCCACTCACCCGTCAAAGGAGTACTTGTTGGTGTTGGGCATGTCCATGATGTCGATGAAGCCACGATTCCCTGCGGGGAGGAGGGTTGGGGCATGGAGGGGAGGGGCACAGCCAGTTGGGGCCTGAGCCAGCCTTGTGAGGCCCCCTGTCCTCTCACCTCCCACCCACCACAGCCCTCACTCACCTGCCGAGCCAGCCACAATGGCCTTGAGCTTCCTCTTGTGTCTGGAGAGAAGCAAAGAGAGGCGCTGGTGAGGGAGGCAGGGCTGAGCCAGGAGCAGGGAGGTCGGCCCCTACCTCAGAGCAAGGGTGGGGACACTCACACAGTCCTGTAGTACCAGTTCATGAGGATGAAGAGCATGGCCGCCAGGAAGAGGAGTATGGCCAGGACAATGATCGCCATCTGGGGGAGAGCAGGGCCAGGCATGAGTGGGCAGGGGGCCCGGGCCAGAGCCAGGATGTCAGGGAGGGATCTAGGGGGCTGAGTGGCACTGCCACTGGGCTACCTGCAGGGCAGACATGTCATCGGGAAGTCGGACAGAGATGGCCGGCTGCACGTCCAGGACATTGTAGTTCCGGAAAAGATTCCGCAGCTGTTCCTTATTCTCATCGATCATCTGGATCACTCTGGGCGAGGGGCAGGGGCCTCAGCTTCCATCCTCATTCACGCCCCCAAGAGTCTACCCCACCCAGGGCAGTCTGCTCTGCTCCTGCCTCGAGTCCCCCAAAGTTCACCCCCCACCAAGCCCTGCAAGGTGAAAGCCCACCAGGCTAGGAAAGCTTTTTATCTTCCATGGTTCTCCATTCCTTCATATAGAATCCTGTTTAATCCTCACGGTAGGGGGAATACTCTTATTTTACGGATGGGGAGAATGAGGCTCAGAGGAACAGAGCTCTGTCTGTACCCCCAAACTCTGTTCTCTCTACTCGCCTGCCCACCTCTGGGGGGAGAGCCCCGCGCGGCGGGCCTGATGGTGCTGTCTGTGCTTCCTCTGGTGGGTCCCTTCCCCAACTCCAGGGCAGGGAGGCAGACAGACAGCCCAACAGGCTGAGCACAGGCCCCCACCCACCGGTCCACGTCCAGGATGCGGTTGGTGTCGCGGTTCACCACGTGGATGAGCAGCTCCGTCTGTGCGAAATTCACCCGACCCTTCTTGTCCACGTGGAACTAGGCGAGAAGGGGCTTTGTGGGGTGTGGCCACCACAGCATGGGCAGGGGCAAGGACGGGATGGGATGGGCCACCTACCCTGCCGATAGACCCATCATTACTGAATGCTCGCTGAGGACCAAGCACACTGCCAATCACTTCAGCCACACTGGGCCAAGTACTATTTATTATTAGCACTATTTTACAGATGAGGAAACTGAGGCCTAGAGACCTGAAGAAGTTTCTCAAAGCCATGCTGCCAGGAAATGACCGAGGTTCATGCCCCTGACCTCTCTGCAATGCCCTGCCCAGTCTCCTTGTGGCCTGGCCCCCTGCCCCTCCACTGTCCCAGCCCCAGGTGGGTCCCGTGGGGCACCTGCACGTCATCAGTGTTGACAATGGCACCAGTGATGTTGGAGAGCAGGCGGATGAACTCCTCCTCGAAGCCACGCACGCGGTCGGGGATCTCATTGATGACAATCTTGACACGCTGGTCATCCCGCAGGATATAGATGCCGATGATGGCCGTGTCATTGTGGCCTGCGAGGTCTCGGGCCACAATGTCCACCACGAAGTAGCCAGGGCTGTAGGCCATGAAGAGGTCAAAGGTGCGCAGGATGCCGTCCACACTCCCTATGGGAAGAGCCCGAGGGTGGGGCACAGCTCAGGGATCCCCCAGTGTCCGCGAATCCCCGGGAAGGGGCAAGGGCCCCGGGGTAGGTGGACACACCTAGGGGAGGCAGCACAAATGTCCCCAGGGCCAAGCAGGCAGCACAGGTGCTAGCCACATGGGGACAGTGCCCCTATGAAGGGGCAGTGGCTCAAGCCTCAGCTTGGCTGGTTGTTGTCAACAGCAGTGTGGCCCGTGTTGCCAGACCTTGCACTTTTTCTAGAGAAACCAGGCATTCCCATTCTTGTGTGAAATCCCCTTAATTTTAACTATCACCTAAGTTCTTATTTAAACACTCTGCATATTAAACAAAACACGACTGTGGGCTGCTCTGGCCCCAAAAGGGTGAGTTTGTGACTCTGCTGTCCCATGCTGGGGTGCTATGGACCACTTCTACGCCCCCTTAGTGTCTGTCTGTCCTTCCCTCTCTTTCATACACATGTACTGTACTTCAGAATTCCACAAACATAGTAGAGAGATGACTGGAGGTGGTACGGCATAGTCTTCTCTTTTAAGACAGTAGAACTGGGTTCAAAATCTGCCACTTTCTAGCTGTGTGACCTTCAGCAAGATACTTAGGCTCTCCGTGCCTTGGAGGCACGTGTGAACTAGACCTTAAAGGAAGTGGCATGTGAACTAGGCCTTAAAGGACGGGGGAGTCATATCAGAAAGCAGAGATGGGGGTCAGGATGGCATTCCAGGAAATGAAGGCAGAGGGGTCAACGGCCCAGGGAGGATGGTGTGGAGCAGGCTGAGGAAATGGTAAGCTGTTCAGCTTGGCTGGGCATAGGGCCCTTAAGGGGTAGGGGGCTGTGGAGCCAGAAAGAGGGATTAGGAGGAAGACCTAGTGAGCCTTGACTACCAGGCAAAGAAGTCTTTCTGGCATTCAAGACTGGTATATAGGAAGGAGTCTGCAGACAGAGAAAAGGGAGAAGGGGTTGGAGCTGAGAGTAAGGTAATGCGACACCCACAGGAGCACCTTCTAGAACCTGACCCAGAGAGTCTCAGCCATCCACACAGGCAAATGCATAAGCAAACACACACACCCGCAGGTATAAGTGTGCTCTTTGAGTTCGGCTCCGCAGTGCCTAGCACGATGCTGACACATGGGGTGGGGCGGAGGGTGACACGCACAAATGGAAAGACGGTGGCAATTATGGACAGGAGGATGGGAAGATGGATGATGGACGGACGGATGGAAGGATAGGTGGATGGATGGGTGAGTAAATAATGGATGGACGAGGAGATGAGAAGGAAGAAAGGGAAGAAGATTTGTAAGTAGATGTAGAGATTGATAGGTGGATAAATTAGAAATAGATCAATGGATAGGTGGCTGAATGAAAGGATTGACGTGGCTGGCGGGAAGGCCACCGTATTCTGTGCTGCTCACACAGACCCTGTCTCCTCCAGGCTATGGTCCATGCAGTGACTGAGACATCTTGGCTGGAGGCCGCCATGTGTGGCCAGGCTCTTACCCATGGTGAAGACCTGGCCCACGTCCTCAGAGTCATTGGCAAGGGCCTGGAAGTAGTGGATGGCCAGAATGCTGTAGAAGACGAGGCTGTTGTTACCAATGTCTGCATCAAGGGCGAGCACCTGGATCAACTCCGAGCCTACCTTGGCGTCGGTGGCCACCCCTGCAGGAATGGGCAGGTTATGTAAGTGGCAGGGCAGGAGCCACCCCACACCCATGCCTAGGCTCCAGTCCCTGCACCTGCAGTGTACTCAGCCTTGGTGAAGCGTGGTGGCTGGTCGTTGATGTCCTCTAACACAACGCGCACCTCCTGCAGAGTGAGGTCAGCAGCCAGGTCGAGGGCTGGGATGGGTCCACGGGGAGGTATCCAGCTGCGATTGCTGGAGGCCTTGACAATGAAGGAGAAGACAGCTTCTTGCTCCCGGTCCAGGTCCCGCAGCACCAGCAGACGCCCATCGGGCTGCAGATGGAAGTTCTTGTCTTCGTTGCCGGCTGAGGATGGGAACACGGCACAGGGTGAGGGGGCAGGGCTAGGGGCGGGCCATATTTAGGTCATCTCCAGCCCCAGGGTAGGTAGGGCACTTGCTCCGTCAGGCCCCACCTGCGATGAAGTAGTAGACGATAGCATTGGAGCCCTCGTCTGCATCCACAGCGCCTGTCACGTTGCCCACGAGGGTGCCACGTGGCGAATGCTCAGGCACTGTCAGCAGCTGGTACTGGGGGCTGCCTTTCTGTGGGGGGGAGGGGATGTCATCATGGGAGGCCAAAGGAAGGTGTGAGCTTCCAACCCCTGCCAGAGGACCCCGGGCAGTGACTTTGTGGGTGCTGCCCAGGACTTATGGAGTGAGCAGAGCTGTTCTAACCTCAAGAGAACAAGGGCTGGGCCTGGGTGGGGGGGGGAGCAGGGGGGATCCGAATTTTGCCCTCAGGGAGCATCGCCCAGTGACGTCTTCCATGAGGGCAGGGCTGGGCTTGGCACGTTCGCTGAAGCATCCCCAGCACCCAAATGAATGTTTGAACAAGGGGGGCACATCATACTCTTATGTGCACACATGTATGCACACACAATTACACTCACACAGTCTCCAGGGAACATCTTATCCCATGTACACACCAGAAGAAAAACCGAGTCAGACAGTGGGGTCCACACGAGGGGCCCTCTGCCCTCCTGTCCAGTTTTGTCTCAGCCCCAGCTCAATACATCAGAGCTGATTTTCATGCTTGTGTGTGTGCGTGCATGTGCGTGCATGCAAATATGAGATCAGCTCTGTGAGTCAGGCTCTTTTGACCGCTGGGTGGTGCCTTGAAATAGTGCTCAGTGTAGCTCAATAGAGTGTAACATAGCTGCTTAATGAATGGTTGCTCTTGTATGAAGTGCATGCAGACAGATGTCTCCATGTGTAACTAAGAGTGTAGTGGGCACAGTGTGACCAGGGCAGTGTGTGCCCGTGTGTGCTTGCTGGCAGGTGAGTCCTTGTGTGGGTGTGAGCGGCGCAGGGGATAGGTGAGCTCACTGGAGGCCTCAGGAAGAGGGGTTCGTTGTCGTCAATGTCCTCCAGGGCCACCTGCAGCGGCTGCATGGTCTCGTATGGCACCGGCTGGCCCAGGTCGCTGGCCACCAAGATGAGCTGGGGGCGGAGGAGCGCAGTGAGAAGGGAAAGACTGAAGAGGGGGATGGCTCAGGGATCCCTACAGGCGCTCCCCCAGGCACACTGCAGGTGGGGCGATGGGGCCCCGAGCCCGCGGATGGCCCCGCCCCCACACGCCTGGCCCCGCCCCGCCCCCGCGCTGGGCCCCGCCCCCACGCACCGGGCCCCGCCCCTTACGCTGTACACCGCCTGCTTCTCCCGGTCCAGGCGCTGCGCGGTCTGGATGAGGCCGCTGATCGGGTCGATGGTGAAGTACTCCCAGTCCCGGTTGCCCGTCGACTTCAGGAAGCTGTAGCGCACCGCCCCGTTGAGGCCTTCGTCCTTGTCTGTGGCATAGACTTCGTACACGTTGGAGCGCAGCGGGATCTCCTGCGGGGGACAGGGAGAGGAGGCTCCTGGACATCTGAGGGAATGCCAGCTCCTAGGCCCTGCCGGAGCTTGCTCTTGCTTCTGCGGCAGTGGAATGTCCTGGCTCCCTTCCAGCATCCTTAGGGACCGCCTGCCTGCTTGGCTGGACTCTCCTGGATTCTGAGCGTATCTGCCAGCTGCTTCCCCTCCCCCACACCTCACCCCAAGCCAAGGCCACTGTATCCACATGCTCCACGCTCTCTCAGGGTGACCATCTTTCCAGGAGCTACTGCCCTCCCTCCAGTCCCACTGCAGGCTGAGGTTTAGAGGACCGAAGGGGAATCTGAAAGCTGAGGCCACAGCCATCCTTTGTCTCCTGTCTGTCCTGCTTTCTCTGCTACTTCAATCATAGGAACTCTAGGTATCAACAAACAACACCATCCAGCCAATGGAGCACCTAAAAATGGGGACAGGCAGGCAGAGTGACATGGTGGACAGAGATTGGCCACCTGGGTCCGGTCTGTTACTAATTCAGTGTGGAATCTGGACAAGTTACTTGACCTTCTGAGCCTCAGTCTCCTGAATTCCCTTGAGTTAAGTCTACGATATCAAAACACTTAACTGAAGTCATATACTGACCCATAAGGCTGCCCAGGGCAAAAGAAAAGAAACACGTTTCTTTGCTTTTAGTTGAAAAATTACCATCTCAGCATGGTTTCATTGTTTATTTCATTGACCATAACAATCAGAATGGCTGTTACATCTTATTAATAAAAAGTGGGATGATGAATAGATAATTACTTAGTAAATGCTGGTATGTTTGGGAGACATAAATCTTTCCGAATATGGAGCCCTTGAAGGGAAAAATTTAGTAAATGAGGCTTTTGGTGTGGAAAAGAAGTAGATTATTATTAATTTATACCCTGCCTCATCTCACAAAAAAGATTTGAAGCAGCTGACAAGAATATATACATTATAATAAGATTGAACAAATTTTAAAAATTAGGGCAAAGAAAAAAATGGCTGGCAGGAAGGTGGAAGCTAAGGGGTGGGAGGCAAGGTGTGTGCCCTCAATCCCAGCAGTGTCGTCCATGGTGGGCTGAGCACTCTGAGCTCCCTAGTGGGCAAAGCAAAGAGGGCCACTCAGTCACAGCAGATGTGACACTAGACATATGGTAAAAGCAAATCCCACGGTAAAAGTGTGGTGTTTCTTAGGGCTCAGCCCTGGGAGAATTTTCTTCTGTAGGAGGGGACAGAGTGACAACATGGACTTAGCGCTGACATTCTGAGATGTGAAGACTTGCTGAAGTTTGTGGGTGTGGCAAAGAATCCTGATTGTACCACCAAGAAGCATTTTGGACCTCGGTGCTTAGGAGAAAGAGGGAAAGAGCAGGAGACAAAGGATCACTTCCCTTATCTTTTATGGCAATCTAGACCATGGAATGCAAGAAGCACTGGAGGGATTCCAGAACATCGGCCACTTCCCCTTGTTTCTTATTTTGACATTCATCCTCAGCTCAGAGGTTGTCTCCACATTAGTATCAGCAGGAACAACAGACAGACAGAAGGGGCATGCATGTTTATTTTGAGACAAGTAATGGAGGAAGTGGGTTGCTGGGGAGATTGTCCCTCTTGGGAGACATCTAGGAGCAAGAGACGGGGCATTTACTATTCTTAGTCCCACTTTGCCGAAGAAAAAAGACTCAGAGAAGTCACTTGCTCAAGGCCATTTGGCTGGTAAGCGATAGACTTAGACTGGAACCCAAGCTCCGTTGCTAGCATAGCCCATACTACTAACCACTGGTTCAAAGCTGCCCTGTGTGGCACGGGGCAAGTCTGCTCCCTTGTCTGGCCTCAGTCTCCCCACCTTAACAATGGCAGCCCTTCCACTCTTGCAGGCCATGACTGCAGGAGGGAGTGGGCTGGATATTGTAAAGGGATGTTGGTGGGCAGGAGGCCCTGGGGGACAGGAGTACCTCTTTGATGTGCAGGATGGTGCCATTGGGTGGGCGCACAAAGATGGGGCGGTTGTCATTGACGTCGATGACCTCCACCAGGAGCATGGTGGTGCCCCAGAGTGGGGGCTGCCCGCCATCTGTGGCCACCACGGTCAGGTTGAACCTCTCGTAGGACTGCAGTGGCCGCTGTGTGGTCACCAGGCCTGAGTCCATGTCTACGTGGAAGGCCTCTAGCAGGTGGGCAGGAGAGCAGAGTGCAGCTCTGGTGAGACAGCCTTCCCAGCCCTCCTCCTCCTCCTGGCCTCCACTTCCCTCAGGTATCCTGGGCATCCAGTGCAGGCTACGTACCCACACCAGGGCCCTCCAGTGAGTAGGTCAGCTCCCCATTGAAGCCTTCGTCCTGGTCAGTGGCCATCATGGTGATGACCGAGGTGCCTGCTGGTTCATTCTCATACACGCTTGTGCTGAACTGAGGCTTGGAGAACTGTGGCCGGCAATCATTGACATCCAGCACTTGGATCACCACCTGGGGAAGGGGGAGGTCAAGGCCAAAGGTCAGGAGCACGAGGGGGGCTGCCTCCAGGGACCTGGTCACACAGGAGTAAGCCGGGTAGAGGAGGGACAGGTAGTACCCTGAGAAGGAGGCACTGTCTTCTAATGTGTTGGAGTCTTACCGCAAGCAACTTATTTAACTCCCTGAGCCTCAGTTTCCTTAGCTGTACAGTGGGAACAATGGTATCTTATCTCTCGGGGTCCTTGTAAGGCTCACACGTGATGATGTATGCTAGATCCCCAGCGCAGTACCTGGCTTGAGTAAATACTCAGCAACTAGAACTGTGGTTAACGGGTGATCTGCACTGGGGCCCAGAAGCAGGAACCCCCCTACCGTCCCCCACCTCCTACTTCATCCTTTGCTACACCCCACAGTGGCCTTTTAACTCTGGCCCTAATCTCTGGACCCTGATGCTGATTGCTGGGATTCCTCTGCTTCCCAAGGCCCCTCTTGATGGGGATTTGTGTGTGGCCTGAGACTTGGTTTCTCCTGCTGACCCCACAGCCCAGGGCAGGTCCTAGGGACACAGCAGACCATGAGGACTTTTCCTCTGGCTACTGTGGCCCTTCCTGGCTGCATCATCATCACAGCCCTTCACAGCAGAGGTTTTAAAGATTCCCCTTCAGTGCATGAGGCACTTTCAAGCCACCTTATCTCCCTGATTCCTCATCACCACATCGACACCCTCCTTTGCAGATTTGACCACTGAGGTTCAAAGAGGTTAACCGACAAATGCAGTGTGGTCAACTAGCGGAACCTCAGTCTTCTGACTGCAAACACTGTGCTTTTCCCAACACAGCACATGCAGATGTGGCAGGGACAAGATTCGGATATGTGTGAGTGCTCCCAGCCCTTTCTTGCCACCTGCTAAAGAGAGCTTGTCTTGGCCCATTCAGGTTCTCAACCTCAGCTCCCCTCCTGCTTGCTGGAGTTTTCTTTAAATAATTCAGCGATTGGGAGGGAGAGGTGAAAGCATGAGTGCAGAAAGACAGGCCTGCAGCAGGCAGAAAAAAGGGAGAAGAAATCAAGAGAAAGCAAAGCCTTGAGCTCGGCACTTAGGATAGAAAAGGAGATAAAGAGCTTTGACGGCAAGATGCTGGCCTCGGAGTAACTGTGGATGTGCAATTGGAACGGGGATGGGCTTGTGAATTTGATCCCTCATTAATATTCTTTAAGGGATAATTATGTTTAGTTGCTGGACTGAGTTTCTTTCAATGGGACACTGTGGAGATGCTGGGCCATGTGGAGCCCCAGACTTTATTTGGGTTACACTCAGATATGTTTAGTTGCCTTAGCAGCAGTTTGGCACAAGAGATTTCTCCCAGACAGCCTCTGTCTTCCTAAGCCATGGCTGTTGTTACCCGTGCAGCCAACGTCTTACCTTCTCCTTTCTGCCACCACGTCTCTGAGGGGCCGTGGGGTCCTACTCTGCAGCACACACTCTCTAAAGGCTTTGCTTGCTGCCTGCACAGCCCCAGTCCCTGGTGTACCTGGGCCCAGGCTGGCCTCACCTGCACCGAATTTTCTCGACGATTGCTGGCTACATCCCCGGGGTTGTCTTTGGCCAAGGCAGTCAGGATATAGTGGTCCTTCTTCTCCCGGTCCAGAGAGGACAGCACATAGATGTCACCCTAGGAAGAGGAGGGTGGCTTCAGGTCCTTCGTCCATTCAATAGACACTAACTGAGCATCTACTGTGGCCAGACACTGTTATGAGCTCTGGGAATACTGAACAAAAGAGACAACAGCCCCTGCCCCCAAGGGGCTCCCCTCCTAGTGGCTCTCCTTGTCCTCACTACCCCAATCTACCTGGAGATGGGATGGCCAGCCCAGGCTGGAGCTAACTGCCTGCCCAGGTCCTGGCATATAGTAGATGTTCCATAAATACTTGTTGTTCTTAATGCTGGGCAAGGAGCCATGTCTGATTGCTCACACCAAGCAGGAAGGAGTGAACCCTGCCGATAGGGCAGAGTGCTGGGGCACAAAAAAGGGCAGTGGGCGGGAGAGTCCATTCTAGCCCCAGAAACTGGGGCAGGTCCTGTCTGACCAGCCACCCTCAGGCCACAGGGCTCTCTCCCTGTGCTGAAAATAGCAGCTTCCAACCAATTAGCAGACATTTGAAACCATTACCCATCTTTTCTCCTGAATTTCTGCTCTCACACAGATCTGAGACTCATGGGAACACAGGGGATCCACCCTCTGGGGCATTTTCCCTCCCCAGCACCGAGTATAGAGTCATGTATACAGCAGGTGCTCAAACACCATGCCCACTTTCTGCAGAACTTCCCATTCCTCTCTTGACAGTCTCAAAAAGCAGTCCTATGAACTTTAATCAAGGATTTTAGTCTGGTGAGGACACATCTCAGAAGTTCTCATCCCACAAAGGGCTAGTTCCAAAAGACTTTGGCTGCTTCCTTCCATGTCTGCTGGGACAGTCTACAGGATGTCTGGGACTCTGAGAACAGGGTTTGCTGACTTGGCTAAAGAATCTCTAAGGCTGGCAGGACACAGAAATGGGGGACAACTGCAATACTTTTGGTGGCTTTTCAGCCTGTGACCCTGGGGCCTTTCTACACCCAGAACCCAGGCCACCCATCACCTGCTTACTGTAGTGGGGTTGATGGCAAACTTGCCCTCTCCATCCCCAAGGCTGTACTCGATGACAGCAAAGTTGCCTGAGTCAGCATCAGTAGCAGTGACTGTCAGGATGACTGTGCCCACGGGCACATCCTCAAAGACGGCCTCCTGGAGCCCAGTGGGCAGGGAAAGAGTAGGCCAAGGTCAGTCCTAGAGTTTCTGCCCCCATCACAGGGTCTCAATGATGCAGGACACCCAGGGCACCAAGCTGCTTGTGGGCTGGGCACTCCCAGGGGGCTTAGAGGCTGGCAGGGTGGGAGTGGAGGACACCCAAAGACCCCAAGGAATGGGCACAAGTCCTGGACTTGGCTGTTGGCCCGGCCACCCACCTGGTAGGAGGGCTGGTCAAAGATGGGGTTGTTGTCATTGATGTCCACAATCTCCAAGTAGACAGGGACCTCAGCGGCCCGGGGCGGGGACCCATTGTCTGAGGCCCGCACAGTAAAGTTGAGCCAATGCACCTCCTCATAGTCCACCGTCCGGTTGGCAATGACCTTCCCTGAGACACAGAGGCACCCCCTGCCATTTTGCCCACTCCTCACTGATGGCAGCTCTCCAAAGTTTGGATCTGGAGCTCTGAGGGGCGGGTGTGGTCCCTTTAAGAAGGAGGCTGGCCAGGCAGCACTGCCCAGTGGCAGGCCAGAAGGCTGAGAGACTGGCATCTGGTTGTTCTCCTTAGTGGTGGGGCAAAAAAGCTTCTCATAAGCCCAGGGGGTGAGCATCGACAATCCCAGGACCTAGCCTGAGACACTTCCCTCTCGACTTTCCTGCCCCCCGAGTGTTACTAAGAGTAGGTGCTTGGTGGTGGAGATGGTGCTGGAGTATTCCAGGTTTCCAGCAGACATCAAGGGGGATTCCATCCCAACCCAGGACTAGGATCTGTCCTTTCCTCTAGTTTGAGCATCTGGGAGTGACTGGAATGTTGGCCATCTTCGATGTGGTCCCCCCACTGGGGGCCAGTGTGGGGCCCCAACTGGAGGGTGAGAAGCAGGCCATGGCCCCACTTGGAGTCTAAGCAGGTGCAGACGTATGTCCCCCAACCCTCCTCTGGCAGATTCCGACCTACCCGCCGAGGAGTCTTCCAGCTGGACATAGCCCGGGGGCATCAGGTCCAGCAGGGTGTAGGTGACCAGCCCATTGAGGCCCTTGTCGGGGTCCACGGCTGCCACAGCGATGAGCGTGGTACCTGGGGTGGCCCCCTCCAGGATCCGCTCTGTGTAATAGGTGATCCCGAAGGGCTTGAACTGGGGTGTGTTGTCGTTGACGTCCAGGATGTTGATTGTGAGCTTGGCTGGGGTGGAGGTGAGGGTGAGGGGAGGGGGTGTCAACGTGGCTGGGCTAGGCCAAGCCCAGAGAGGATGGCAGCCTCTCACAGCCGTCCTAGAACATCCTGAGGATTGGCCCAACCCTCAAGGTGTGGCACGCAACACTTTCCTCTGTTCTGGTCACTCACTCTTCCACAGGGGAAGGGGCTTGAGTTCTGTCAACTGGCTGGGTGACCTTGGTGGAGCCCTTGGCCCTGACTGTGCCTGAGTTTCCTAACCTGTTCAGTGACATAGAACTAAGATGATCTTTAAGACCCTTCCCATGATTCAGCCTTCTACAGCCATCTGAGTCATCCCCTCTGCGTAACCAGTCTGGGCCCTTTGTCCTCTGAGCTGGGACAGATGACCCAGTCTGCCCTTCCTTCTGAAAACTCGGACTTCTGCGCTGTGAAGATAGGCAGCCTGTATCTGCCAGGCCTGGCTTCCCACCGCAGCAGCTGTCCTCGCCTCATGGCAGAGGCGACTTGAAGCCACCTCATCCCCACTTCTGCCACCCCACCTCTGCTCTGCCCACGTGAAGTCCACCTCTCTAGCAGCCCCCTCCCCACTCGCAGCTCTGGCCGCAGGCAGAGTGGCCCGTGTCCGACCCACAGGAGGCATCACCATGCCCCTCTCTTCTTTACCATATGCCTGCACTCCCAATGCTGTGTCGGCCTCAAGCTGTGCTCTTGCTTCCTCTCTGCTGACCCGTGGCTTCCTATCGGATCAGGGGTTCCTGTCTTACATCCTCGTCACACCCTTGTTCCCACTGCTAACAACCGATTCCGAACTAAGTCAACTTCCAGCCTCTACCAGGCCTCCTTCCCACTCAGCCTTGGGGTTCAGACCACACAATTCTGGGCTTCTGGATCTCCCACTGCTGAGCTCTGTGTAAGGACGGGACACCCAGCCACTCTGACCCTCACTGTAGCTGCCACCTTCCATGCACCTGGTAGGCACAGGGAGGCAGCCTGTGCAGCTGGGTCCTGCTGCTGCCTCCCTGGGGCCAGGCCCACCGCCCCACCCTGATTGCCTCTGAGTAACCAATGAGACATGGCAGCAGGGGAAGCTCACCATTTGGCACACTGACAGAGCGCTCTGGTAGGTCGCTGGCGTTGTCAATCACTGAGAGAGTGACCTCATAGGTGGCAACGAGCTCCCGGTTCAGGGGGGACTTCACCATTACAGACCCTGTGGATGGGACCAGTTGAGGTTCAGCTGGAGGGGAACCCCCTAAAATCTGGACCTCCCAGGGGTGCTCCTGGCCAATCCTCCTAATCTCCAATGGACCCTTGGACTTGTGGCTGGGATGGGCTCACAGCCACCTGCATAAGCTGGGCACATCACCCTGCCCCTCACACATTGACTATTAGCCAGGTGACCTTGGGCATGTTACTTAACATCTCTGTACCTCCGTTTCCTCGTTTGTAAAATGGGAAAATTACAGTGCCTACTGCATAGGGCTATTTTGAGGATTAGAAAAATTAAATGAGTTTCCATTTGTAAAATGTTTAGAAAGGTGTTTAGAAGTGTTTAGTGCTTGGCACATAGAAAGTGCAATGTAATTACTTATTTAAAAAATGCTCATATTCCACAGATATGTGAATGTACTTAACACTAGTCAACTCTTCACTTAAAAATGGCTAAGATGTCAAGTTTTATGTGTTTTTTAAATCACAGTTGTAAAAAAGTGCTTATATTCTAGGGAGATCAATCAAGTACAAAGGCCTACCCCTTTGTCTTGATTAAGTGGGAAGTGACATGGGCTGGTTCTGGGACAGAAGCATCTGTCCTGTGTTAGTACTAGCAAGGAGTTTCCTTCTCTTCTACCCAGTGCCTCCCAGAGTCTCTGCCTGCTCCCTGAATCAGAGAGAAACCTTCCAGAAGCTCGGGCTTGGACTGGACAGACCTAGTTTGGCCTCACTCAGGGCTGGCTCTCCTGGGAACTTTCTTCTTCCTGCCTGTTGGAGGGCCTGGTGGCTTCTCCTCCCATGGGCCTCCTCCTAGAGTAAGACCTCCTCTCCTTCTCAGGCACTGGGGTCTCTGGCATTCCCTTCCCCCTCAGCAGATCCCCTTGCTGGGCTTCTGTCCTCCGCGGTTCCCCAGCCATGGGGCAGTCACTTACCCTGGGCCGCCGCCTCCTCCTCCTCCTCCTCTTCCTACTCTCGCTCCCTGTCCCCCAGGCTGGGGAGCGAGGATGGGGAGAGGGCGGCTGCATTCAGTCTGCAAAGGCTGGGCCACGGCCTCGGCCCGGGCCCCACAGGACGGGAAGGGTGGTGGGGGTGCAGTGGGCATGGAGGGCAATGGGGTGAAGCAGAGAAGAGATGAGGTGCGAAGTGACAGAGAAACAGAGCTCAAACCTGTGGGCCTGCCAGCCGTGAGGAAGAGAGAAGAGGGTAACATCAGTTAGTTTGGAGTGGCAGGGAAGGAGTGGGGTGGGGCATTGGGGGACGGTGGGGGCTCTGAGCTGACCAAGGTGGCAGGGGCGGGAGGGAGGAGGCAGAGGGGACAGAAGCCAGGGCACAAGTGGGAGCCCAGCTGGAGTGGAGAGCTCAGGGGCTGAGGATTTGGCAAGAAGAAGGGGGAGGGAAGGTGAGCAAGGGAGCTGGGGAGAGCATGAGGAAGAGAGGCAGAGAAGACACTGGAAAGAAAAATAGAGAGAAGAGAGTCAGTAGGCGGGAGGGAGAACAGGAAAGGCTTCAGGATAGCTTGCAGTGGAGCAGAGGCATGGGCATCGCTCCACAGCCCTGACCAGCCAGTGCAACCAGGAATTTTGCTAAGCTGGGACAAGGCTGATTCTATCTGACGTCTCCTAGTGCTCATGATTTTTCTTCTTTTTCCCTTTGAGCCTCAGAAGAGTTAATCAAACTCTTTGGCTCCCTGCACACTGCGCTCACGGGCGCCTCTCTTGTTTTATGTATGCATCTACTCCTTTTTCTTACAACACTCCTCTCCCCTTCCCTTCTCTCCTTGGGCAACTATTGTAATGTACTAAAGTGTATTTTTTTATTTAAAAGTATTCCTGAGGGCCGGCCCGGTGGCACACTGGAGAGTGCGCTGCCTGGGAGCATGGTGGCACTCCCGCCGAGGGTTCGGATCCCATGTGGAGACCGGTTCCCGCTCACTGGCTGAGCGCGGTGCGGGCGCAACACCGAGGGTTGCGATCCCAGTTGCCAGTCCCTGGTACGGGCGCAACACCGAGGGTTGCGATCCCAGTTGCCAGTCCCTGGTACGGGCGCAACACCGAGGGTTGCGATCCCAGTTGCCAGTCCCTGGTACGGGCGCAACACCGAGGGTTGCGATCCCAGTTGCCAGTCCCTGGTACGGGCGCAACACCGAGGGTTGCGATCCCAGTTGCCAGTCCCTGGTACGGGCGCAACACCGAGGGTTGCGATCCCAGTTGCCAGTCCCTGGTACGGGCGCAACACCGAGGGTTGCGATCCCAGTTGCCAGTCCCTGGTACGGGCGCAACACCGAGGGTTGCGATCCCAGTTGCCAGTCCCTGGTACGGGCGCAACACCGAGGGTTGCGATCCCGTTACCGGTCAGTAAAAAAGACAGAAAGGAAAAAAAAAAGTATTCCTGAAAATCATGTAGTGTTTTATGTGTATTTTATATTCATAATTTTATGTTTGTATTTGTTTATTAAAATGATATTGGGGTATGTATCTCTCCTATTTCTTACTCTTTTCAGTAAGTACTTATCTTTAAGATCCACACACACTGCTCTGCATGTGTCTAATCCACGGCTTCTAACTGCTGCCTGGTACTCCCAAGGTGTGTACCCACCACATTTTACTCTCCAGTCTCCCAGGGATAGACACTTGGGTGCCCTCCGATTCCCACCACCACCAATAACACTTCCGTAAACATCCTCAGACAGTCCCACTGTCGCCCTGAGATTCCTTTTGGACATATATCAGAAGCAGAATTGCTGGGCCGTGGGGTATGATTGTACTTTGTCTAGATGGTGGAATCAGTCTCAACTCCTACCGTAGTGCACAAGGGTTCCAGTGTCCCCACAATGTCACCAATACGGGGTGACAGCATCCTAATGGCCTCCTAATCACATATGGAAACCTGATATCTCTGCTGTTTTACTATACATTTCTCTGAATAACAATGATTTTTTAGCATTTTGTCATAGCCACGCTAGTTTTTCTGTCACTCCTCTGGGCCTTCCAAGAAGTACACCTGTAAGGTCCCATGTTCCTTCTCTAACTCCCCAGAGGAGCAAAAACACTGAACTTTTGGGAAAATGGTAAAACCATCAAAATTACAATAAGCAGCATAAACTGTGACAGATAAGCCACGGTTCTTTTTGTTTTGTGATAGTATAAGAAAATCATTAGGAGTACAAATATAACTTACAGACAATTTACATGGCCGGTATGCAGATGAAGAAAGTGTTTGGTTGAACCTAATTATTAAAGAAATGCATATTGAAATGAGGTACCAGTTTCCTTTAAAATTCCAAACGTGACAACGTTATAATATCTAGTGCTGGCTTGAGTGTGGTGAGAGGGGAACTCACACACTGGTGGAGGGAAGAAATCAGAAAGGCTAGAGGAGCTGGCCAAAGGAAAGGAAGAAGAGAAAGGAGAGACGGAAGGAGCAAGAGGAGGGATGGAAAAGGAGGGAAGGATATGGTGTCAATCGGGGAGAGAAGAGAGTGGAAAGGGAGCAGTGGAGAAAGGGAAAGAAGAAGAAGGAAGAAAGCAGGGAGCAAGGAGACTGGGCAGGGGGTCAGGAGAGAGGGTGAGAAGGGAGCAGGCCCTGGTACCTGTGTTGATATTCACGGCAAAGGCATCCTCCTGGTTGGGCACCAGGTGGTCAGTGTCATCCTTGGCCACGATGCCAATAATGTGATACTCCAGCTTTGGGTTGAGGTCACGGTCAATGGCAGTGATGTTGGCAATGACAGTGCCTGGCTTGGCCGACTCCAGCACGCTCACCGTTTGGATGGGGTTGAGGAACTCGGGGCGGGAGTCATTGATGTCATCAATCAGGATGGTGATGATGGCCGTGCCCGAGAGAGGGATGGTGCCCCGGTCAGTGGCCACCACTGTCAGCCTGTAGGATTCCTGCTCCTCCCTGTCAATGGTGACGTTGTCCACGCGGATGACCCCAGTGACTGGATGGATAAGGAAGCGGTCCTGAGCCCCACCTTCTATTCGGTAGACCAGCTCCCCATTGAGGCCACTGTCCTTATCTGTGGCTGTGACTTGAAGGACTGAGAATCCTGTGGGGGAGGAAATGGGGAGTAGCTGAGCACAGTGGCCTCTTTCTGGAAAGACTGCACCAAGATACCTTTGTTTAGCAGTGCACAAGAGGCCCCTTCTCATGACAGCCTTGCCAGCATTTATCTTTTATACATTCTTCATGTTTGCAGTTTTATATGAAAACGGTATCTTATCTTATTTTACATTCCTTGATTAAGCAATATTTTATAATTTAATGGATAGTTGTATCTTCTGCAAATTGTCTGCCTTTGTCTTTTGCCCATTTTTTCTGTCAATTTATACATACTATATAATTATGATAATATGTGACTAATATCTTTTTCTCAGTTTGTTGTTTGTCTTTCAATATTGGTTATAATTGTTTGTTTGATGTAAAGAAGTCTAAATTAGTATGCATCAAAATTTAATTTTTTTCCTTTTTTGAGTTCTACTTCTTTTTATCCTTAGAACCCTCTTTTTCTTTTTCTTTCTTTCTTTTTTTTTTTTTTTTTTTGTGGCTGGCCAGTACAGGGAACCAAATCCTTGACCTTGGTGTTGTCAGCACCATGATCTCCTAACTGTGTTAACTGGCCAGCCCAATCCTATTTGATTTTAAAATAGTTTTCAAATCCACAGCCAGTATCATCCTGAATGGGGAAAAGCTGAAAGCCTTTACCTTAAGAACAGGAATAAGACAAGGATGCCCACTCTCACCACCCCTATTTAACATAGCATTGGAAGTACTAGCCAGAGCAATCAGGCAAGAGAAAGAAATACAGGGCATCCAGATTGGAAAAGATGAAGTCAAATTGTCCCTGTATGCAGATGACATGATCCTATACATAGAAAAGTCTAAAGACTCTACAAAAAAACTTAGAGTTGATAAACGATTTCAGTAAAGATGCAGGATACAAGATCAACAGTCAAAAATTAGTAGCATTTTTATACTCCAACAATGAGCTACTAGAAAAAGAAATCAAGAAAGCTAGCCTGTCTACAATAGTCACCAAACAAATAAAATACCTAGGAATAAGGAGGTGAAAGATCTCTACAACAAGAAATTGTTGAAAGAAATTAAAGAGGACACAAAAAGATGGAAAGACATTTCATGCTCTTAGATTGTAAGAATTAACATTGTGAAAATGTCCATACCGCCCAAAGTGATTTATAGATTCAATGCAATCCTCATCAAAATACCAATGACATTCTTCACAGAAATAGAAAAAAAACACTAATATTCATATGGAACAACAAAAAACCCCCGATAGCCAAAGCAATCCTGAGCAAAAAATAGATAAATAAATAAAGCCAGAGGTATTACACTACCTGAATTCAAATTACGCTACAAAGATTTAGTAACCAAAACTGCATGGTACTGGCATAAAAACAGACATACGGACCAATGGGACAGAATAGAGAGCACAGGAATCAATCCATATACTTATAGTCAACTGATCTTCAAAAAAGGCACCAAGAACACATATTGGGGAGAAGACAGCCTCTTCAATAAATAGTGCTGGGAAAACTGGACACCCATATGTAGAAGAATGAAAGTAGATGTGTACCTCTCACTGTATACTAAAATCAACTCAAAATGGACTAAAATTTAAATATATGACCCGAAACTATAAACCTCCCTAAAATGTAGAGGGAAAAACTTCAGGAAGTAGGACTGGGCAAAGACTTTATGAATATGACAGCAAAAGCACAGGCAACAAAAGAAAAAATAAACATATGGGATTATATCAAACAAAAAGTTTCTGCATAGCAAAAGAAATAACGGAGTGAAAAGATAACCTATAGGGTGGGTGAAAATATCTGCAAACTATGCATATGACAAAGGATTAATGTCCAGAATATACAGGGAACTCAAAAAACTTAACTAAAAAAAAAGACCCAATTAAAAAATGGGCAAGGGAGCTGAATAGACATTTCTCAAAGGAAGATATACAAATGGCCAACAGACACATGAAAAAGTGCTCAGCATCACTCAGCGTCTGGGAAATGCAAATCAAAACCACACTGAGATGTCATCTCACCCCATTTAGACTGGCTATTATAAAAAAGACAGAGAATAACAAATGCTGACGAGGATGTGGAGAAAGGGGAACTCTCCTACACTGTTGATAGGACCGTAAGTTGGTGCAGCCGTTATGGAAAATGGTATGGAGGTTCTTCAGACAACTACAGACAACTACAGATGGAACTGCCATATGATCCAGCAATCCTACTGCTGGGTACATACCCAAAAAATGGAAATCATCATGTTGAAGGGAACCTGAACTCCCATGTTTATCGCAGCTGTATTTACAATAGCCAAGAGTTGGAGCCAACCTAATGTCCATCATCGGATGATTGGATAAGCAAAAGGTGGTGTATTTACACAATGGAAAACCACTCTGCCATAAAAAAAGAATGAAATACTGCCGTTCACAGTAACATGGATGAATTTAGAGAAAACTATGTTAAGTGAAATAAACCAAGCACAGAAAGAGAAATACTGCATGTCCTCATTCATAAACGAGCTAAGAAATAAACAAATAAACAAAAAAAGAAGAAATAAAGATACAACCATCACAATAATGCATTGAACTTTCTTTCTTTCTTTTTTTTAACCAGTAAGGGGATCGCTCAGCCAGTGAGCGCACCGGCCATCCCTATGTAGGATCCGAACCCGCGTCCTCGGCGCTACAAGTGCCGCACTCTCCCGAGTGAGCCACGAGGCCGGCCCTGCATTGAACTTTCAAAAGCAGAGAACAGAACTGAGGTTACTAGAGGTGAGAAAGGGGGAGGGTAAGGGAGGCATTGGTAAAGGGCCATGAGAAATGATGACATTGTGTAATGCTGAATATACTAATTATCCTGATTTGAGCATCACATATTGCACACAGGTAATGACATTCAACTCTGTACCCCATAGATAAAATGAATAAATACAAAAACAGTCTTCCCATCCAGGAGCATGGACAGAACATATTACTTTGTCAACCCATTTTGTGGACAAGACACCGAGGCTGAGAGAAGGGAAGGGGGCAGGTGTCCTGACTCCCACTCTAGTTCTCTCTCCCCTCACCCTGCTGCCTGTCTCTCTCCCCTCTGGAGGTGAACTGTGTGTCCAACCAGAGGCTCCAATCCCCACTGACCACCAGCCAGTTCCTGGCGGGGGGCTGGGGCCCAGGCCTATCCCCTGCTTACCTGGTGGGCAGTTCTCCAGTAGGTGGACAGTGAGGGTGGCAGGGCTAAAGGTGGGTCGATTGTCATTGTCATCCAGGATGGTGACGAGCAGGTGGGCTGTGCCATTGAGCAGCCCGATGTCCTCAGCCAGCAGCAGCAGCTCCAGGACAGGGGGTGAGAAGGCCTCCCGATCAATGATGACACTTGACCTCACAGTCACCACGCCTGGCACCCAGTGCCACCAGCCAAGGAGACATAAAAGAAAAGGGGTGCAGTGGGGAGACAGAGTGAGAGCCAACAGGGAGGGAACGAAGAAGGTTCAGGGCACAATGGGGATAGAGATGAAAGGGGAGCAGAGAAAGTAACACGATGACTTTCTTTCCCAAAGGTTCACCCACCCATGTTTAGGGAGGGTCCCCATGTGTCTCCTGTGGTTGTCCCCTCTGCAGGGGCCTCTGCAGTCCTCAAGGGTCCTGCGTGGGAAGGGCGATCCAGGGAGGAGGCTTGACCTGCTCCATAGAGAGATGTGCTTCCCTGTTGGCACCTGTCACCAAATTGGCCTCCTCAAGGACCAGACTGATGTGACATGATTTCTGGGGAGCTTCAGGTCTGGCGTGAGGACAGAAAAGTTGCTTTGGCTACTTCTGGCTGACCTGGGGCCAGAGCCTCTGGCCTGGGCATGGGGAAATGAAGGGAGAGGGTTGGGGCTTTCTGCTTAGGCCGAGTTTGTGCATTGGTAGGACCTTTGTGTCATCTCCAAGCTTCCTCTGGGCTCCTCCTAACCCAGCTGCAAGATGAGGATGTGGGCTATGAGGAATGGGGTCTCCATGGAGAGCCTGGATCCAGCACTGAGAAGGGAGGCCCTAGATCTGGCAGTGGGGCCATTGTACCCACAGCAGGCTGGGCATGCTGAGGTGGCTCACCTGTGCTGTTGTCGATGTCAAAGAGGCCTCTCTGGGCACCCAGCAGCTGGTAGGTCACCACAGCATAGATGTCCTCATCAGCATCCAGGGCTAGGATAGGTCCATTGAGCACCGTGAGGGGGGTCCCTGGGCCAGGAGGAGAGAGGTCATCACAAGGCCAGCCTGGCTCCCTCCCCTCCCCCCTCCCCTGCCCCTGTCCCAGTGAGCCATGGCTGACGATGGATGAGAGGGGAGGGGGTGAGGCGGAAGGGTGGGAGGCCCCGGGGTGGGCCTGCGGAGCCTTGGCAGACTGAACGCAGATGCCTGGGGAGCGGCCTCAAAGCCCTGCTGGGGAGAAAACACGAGAGTGGTGAGCAAGCCCCTCCGGCCGCCAGAGCCACACCTGCCTTCCCAGCAGCCTTTGAGGCTGGCCACTCCCAGGAGGGTCTGGGGGTCCCTGACACGCTCTCCCTGTGTGCGGGCCTTGTCTGTCCACACGTGTGTGTACACAATGCTTCATCTACAGGGGTCTGACCACATACGACTAGGAATCCACACACGTGTGTGCGGGGCTCTGTGTTCATGTGGCCACGAGCCCCCGTGGTTGTGCGTTGTCTGCCTCTGCAGATGGGCTCATTTGCACGAGTGCATCGTGTGGGCACCCATGTGCCTACGTGTGTCTGTGCACATGGGGGACCCCATGCATATGCCTGATACAGACATGCACTGGCACATGTGTGAGTGTGCACAAGGGCAGATTTAACAGTCAAATTCATGTAGCAGGGACACCTAGCCAGAGACGAGGAACATCTCAGCTCAGCTCTTTCTGACTCAGATCCAAGCTTCGGGGCTGGGGAGGCTGAAGGAGGAGGGAGGGTACTGCCTAGGGGGACATTAGAGAGGAGACTCTGTCCCTTGAAAGGGAGGTGAGGCTGGTCAGGGCATACATATGGGGAAAGGGCTATGCTGGCCTACCCAGGTCCCCTGACCCCCACCTCTAACTACACATGTTTCCCAGAGCTTCCAGAAGCCTCTGGAATGCCCTGCATTCCTGGAGTGGAGGGAGCAGGGATGGGTGGGCTCATGCCCCCCTCTTGGGGGACAGTGGGACTGCTCTCAGACCACCCTGGGACCAATGACCACAACTGTCTCTTCCAACCAGACCTGTGGCCTCTTGGAAGTCCCTAAAAGACCTGGCAGCCCCTGCCCACCAGCCTCAGAGCTCTGCCTGTCCCTCCCCTCCAGCACCCTTCTGCACCACTGGGTCTATGTTCAGCTGTGCTACCAGGCACAAGGGAGGTCCTCAGATGTCTGAGGCCCCGGTGGTGCCTGGCAGGAGCAGGAGAACCTGGGCGGGCCCAGCACCTACCAGCGGGAGAGTTTTCCATCACCTCTGCCTGGTAGGTGCTCTCAGTAAACAGGGGGTGGTTGTCATTCTCATCCACAAGAAAGATCAGCAGCAAGTCAAAATCCTGTGAGGGGCAGAATGGGGGGCAAGTTGTGGGCCATGCTCTAGCAAAGTGTGCCAATGGGAGGAAGGCTGGGAGGTGGGACATCAGGGCACAGAGGCAGATGATTAAAGAATCCCCTGCCAGGGGTCCAGTGACCTGAGACCAAGTCCCTGCTCTGCTAGAAGCTCAATGGGTGACCTTGGGCAAGTCGTTTTCCCTGTCTGTGTTTCACTTTTCCAGTCTGGCAAATGGGGATCTTAACTCCTTCCCAGAGGTGCTGTGACAGTCACAGGAGAGGGTGGATGTGAATGGTATTTAATCATGTTCCATCTCGTGGTAAGGAAGGACTTCAGGCAGGTAGATGAGTCCTGCTTACCCTCCAGGCCTGCCTGACGCCCTGGTCAGAGTTCATCCAGACCCTCACCCAGCACTGAACTGCACGCCTTCCAAACCTCGGGACCTCCTGCTACCCCTGGACGCTGTCCCCATTTCAGAGGTGAGGGAACCAAGGCATAGGGCGGGGGAGTGACCATTTGAAGCCGCAGGGTGAGCTAGTGGCAGAATGGGGACTCGCCCCCAAGCCTCATGATACCCACCACTCAATGCTGCTGCTTTCCAGGATGACCCAGGCCCTCCTGCAGCACAGGCGAGGAGGGGGAAATGAGAGCACGAAAGGAGAGTGAGAGAGAGAAGGAGGCAAGCAGAGGAGCAGCAGATGAGAGTGGCAGGTGGCTTATGAGGACCTCCAGCCTGAGAGATGGAGAAACTGAGGCCCCAAAAGAGCCGTGTCTAGCTGAGCCACACAGCTAGGGGCAGAGTTGAGATGAGCCAGGCCCAGGAACTCCTGGACAGGGCTCGGCCCCAGAGAGATGACCCCCAACCCCAAACCCACCTCCTTTTAGTAAAGAGAGCTAATTTCTTCAGCTTTTGAGGGAAAAGACACCTAGAAAATGCAACCTTTCAGGACCCTGGAGTGTGCGTGTGAGCACACGCAGGCCTGTATGCACACACAACTGTGGTGTGTGCTCAGGGATTGGCGATTTGGGGAGAAAAAATAACAGCTGGCATTCACTGAGTGTGTGTGTGTGCCAGGCACCATGTTGAGAACTTTCATAAATTGGCTTCTTCATCCTCTCCACAACTTTGGGTAGGTGGGATCTTCATTTTGCAGAGGAGGAAATGAAGGCTGAGAGAAGTGACCTGGCGAAAGCCACGCACCTACTGACAGGTAGCAGTGGGATTGGAGCCCAGTGCTCGTGCACTCCAAAGCCTGTGCGTCTAAGCCCAGGCCATGCCGCCTGCAGGAGGGGTGATGTGTCCCTCCAGCACCAGCTGCCCCCTCCTCCGCCTTACCCTCCTGGCTATGCGTGGGTTCTCGGGGTTGTCCTTCACAGAGATGGTCAGCTTGTACTCTGGGATCCGCTCACGGTCCAGGGGCCGGTTCACGGTGATGATCCCTGTCTGGGATGTGGAGGGCTGGTGAGCTGAGCGGCAACCTGTTGCTCCTCGCTTTGGGCTCTGACCCACAGAGACCCAACTGCTCTGCCTGCAGCTCCAGGGCTGGCTGCACATTCCCTCCCTAAATCGCTGGAGACATGGTCTAGAAGCCAAATGTAGGCTGGCAGGGTGAGAGTGACCCACCAATGCCCAGGTCTTGCTGCCCCAAAGCAATCTATGGACACCCCAATAGGCCAAGTGAGGACTTCCTGGTGCATCTTGGGACAAACCAAGTGATTCTAGAGGCTCTGGCCCCACCTCTGCACATGACAAGCCTCTGGGGTGACTCTAGGTGGACCCCAGAGATGGCTCACTGGGGAATCCACGATTCCATGCTTCCCGCAGAGACTTCCCTGTCCCAGTGCAGAAACAGGAAAAGAAGGAGCCCAGACAGCAGCAGCTGAGAGCCTCTAGGGCAGGATCCTCTTTTTCAGGAACCCCCCAGGGGCTCCCTGCGGCCAGCGTGGACCCTACCGTGGCATTGATGGCGAAGGCCCGCTCCCGGTTGCCTGCAGTGATGTTGAAGGTGAGGAGCGCGTTGCAGCCGCTGTCAGCATCACTGGCCAGAATGTGGGCGACGAAGCTGGAGATGGGGCTGTTCTCACTGATGGTGATGTTCATGGGCAGGTTGAGCAGCACGGGGTCATTGTCGTTGATGTCCAGCACCCGGATCCCCACCAGCATCTGGGGCAGTTGGAGGGAGAGGCAGAGAGAGGGGAGGAGGAGCCAGGATGGTGACGGGTGAGATGGAACAAGGGAGCAAGGGGTGGCATCGTGGGAGGGAGGGTCGTGGAGAAGAAAGAGAAAGAAGATGAGAAAAAGATCATAAAAAAGGCAAGAGGAGGATGAGAGAAGTGGAAAAGGTAAAGAGGCCGAGCGGGGGAGCTGGAGGGGTAGACAAGAGCGTGCTGGGCGGGCCTGGGTGCGGGGCCTGGCTGAAAGGCAGCCTCTCTGAGAGGCGCTGTGTGGGGAGGGCTCTGAGGAGCCGTGGCTGCCCTGAGAGGCCCTGGAAGGTCTGTTAAGGGCCCTGGGTCCTGGACTGGCTCCAGAGCAGCCACTGGCCTTTCTGGGCATGAGGGTGACAGACAGTGTTTGCAAGAGTCTCTATGGAGAGTTCAGGGGCAGTGAGGTGAAGCCAGCAGAGAGGGACGCTCAGACTCACCGTGGAGCTGAGAGGAGGCACCCCTCTGTCGCGGGCACAGATGGTCAGGTTGTAGAAGGCAATGGTCTCACGGTCCAGCTCCACATCCTTCCGGACCCGCAGCACCCCCTCCACGGGAGAGATCAAAAACTCCCCTGGGTGCCGCCCAGGAGAGGCCATAGTTAGCTAAGAAGGGCCAAGAGTTGTGGAGAGCCCAGGCTTCTCCTGCTTCCTTTACCAAGCCTTCGTCGCCAGGGTGGGGAACAGCTGGGGCGTGGGTCCTCAGTGCCCCCAGCTTCAGATCCTCACAGGACCTGCCAAGGGCTGGGAAGTGCAGGAGGGTGGGCAGCAGATAACTGCCAGATGGGCACAGCCCCACTTGTGCCCTTATGTGCCTTTGATGCCAGACTAGTTGGTTTCCTTCCCTGGGCAGGGGCAGGCCAGGGACTGCCCTGGGTAAGTTAGTTATGTTGAGAAAGTGGGGCCTCTCTTTCTATACAAGCACCCTCTTTCTAATCACTATTGATCAGAAATAGATTAGTGATGGCATCAGGAACTTTGTAATGTGCAATCCCTCCTAGATACCATGCCTTGTAAAAAAAAGGATATTGAAGAGGAGCAAAGCTTAACACAAAGGAATGCTTTGTGCTATGGGTTAAATGTGTCCCCCCAAAGTTCATGTTTTGGAAACATATTCCCCATTGCAACAGTGTTAAGAGGAAGGAAATCCTATCATAGTAAATGAGAGGTGGGGTCTTTAAGAGGTGATTAGATTGTGAGGACTAATGTGCCCTTGTGAGTGGATCGATCCTTCACGGAGTACTGGGCTTGGTTCTGATGGCTGTATAAGGAGAGCGGACGAGGAGGTCAGTGCTCTCTTGCTCAGCCCATTCTCGCCATGTAACTACCCTGCAAAGAAAGCCCTCACCAGATGTGTTCTCTGGACTTTGGACTTCCCAACCTCTGAAACTGTAAGAAATAAATTTCATTTCTTTATAAATTACCCAGTTTTAGGTATTCCATTATGAGCAACAGAAACATACTAATACCACACTTTGCTACTGGTGGATTCGCAGGCCCTGGGGCAGTCAGAGTGGCAGGGAAGCCCCCAGGGCCTTCTACTCAGCCCCTGTATTGAGCCACAGTTGGAGCATGGACAGTGTGGCCTGTGGTGACCCTGACTTCCCTTCCCTGATGTTTCTGAGGACACTTAGCTGTCCTTGTATTGGCCTGGATGAGGGGCCAGATGTCTGAGAGTATCTAGAGCAGGCACCTTGGATTCTCAGACTCTGACCTGCAAGGGACCTTAGAGACCATCAGTCTCTTTTGTCCTTTGGAAAATGAAACCAGGGTCCAGAGGAAGGTGACGAGTTGTCCATGCTCTCACAGCAAGTTAAGGACAGAACCAGGATTCTAACCCAGGACTCTGGGTTTCTGCCCACTGCATCCCATGGGACTTGTCTTTCCAGACAACGTCACTCAGAGCTGACAAGGGTGGGAGGGACGGGAGGGAGGGACAAGTGGGAGAGCCCAGTTAGAGTGGAGAGAATGGGGATGGGGCTGAGACTCTGGCAAGAAGAAAGGGGAGGGAAAATGAACAAGGGAAGTGGGGAGAGCCTGATGAAGAGGGGGTTACCATGTGCATTCCTCCAGGAACTGGAGTGGGGAGAAAGTTACTTCCTTCACTTTCCCTTTTGGCCCTTGGGGGAAAAGGCCCAGAGTGGGGCACTGACTTGCTCACGGACACACAGCACACAGAGGCCCCGCAAGGACAGATGCCCAAGCTCCCCAACAGTTTTCTCTGCCTGCCTCTTCACATCCTACCTCACCATGCCCTGCCCCCAGCTCCTAATACTCTGATTTACAAAAACAGCCCCTCCTGTCCCACCTGCAGCTGGGATTTCCCATCAGCCCTTCCGCTCCCAGGCTCATCTTCGTCCCTACAGGCTTCACCCTGTCCAGAGGGGTGGAAGCTGCTCGGAGCAGGATTTCCTGAGCCTGATACTCCAAGGTCTCCAGAGTTGGGGATTCCCAGCCCTATGCCAGGCCCTGGCCATGTGTGGGCAGATGACCTCCTGTCCTCTCTCTGAAGCCAGGGGGAGACACCATCACCATCCCCTTGAAGGCTCAAGGGAGGCAGACCTTAGGGGCTGGGAGGCTGGTCCCAGGCTAGATCACTAGGAGGTCAGCTGGAAGACCAAAGACGGGGGAAGTGGGTGGGCCAAAGCTGCAAATTTTCCTCCGGAGCAGCTCACTCCGGGGCCAGAACTTCACATCTTCTGGAGATAGGAGGTTAAAAGCATAGCTTTCGATCCAGTCATAGCTAGGTCTGCATCCTGGCTTCATTCCTGTGTGCCCTTGAACACGTTTCTGAGCCTTGCCTTAATGTTCTCAACTGAAAAATAGGCTTGTAAAGAGATGCCACCTCAGGGCTGTGTTGGTGCTAGTCAAAGCCTGGTCCACTTTGTGTGTGCTGATCCACGGCAGCTTTCAGGAGCATGAGGATGTAGGAGAGGGGTCCAAGGAGTGGGCCTGACCAGGAGGGGCAGCCGGAGGTCCCTAGAGGCTGGGGCTGGTGGTGGAGGCTCAAGTGGGTGTGGCCTGTTCCCTAACTATTCTTTGACCATATGTCTCCTCCTTAGGTCTTAGTAGGGCTTGCAAGAGAGACCCCAGTCATCTCAGATGTCTCCCCACCGGTAGGAGCCTCCTCCAGGCTCAAGCTGCAGTAATGGGAAGGCCACCTTTAAGATGGGTGGCCTGGACATGTCCTTTCACCTGGTAGTATGTTGCCAAACCGGCTCTCTGCAGAAAATGGCCCTGATCTGTAGCATTTGTCAACTTTTCAAGTTACCAAAATGAATCCAGAGGTGGGAGGGTATGTCAGGAGTGGGTGCTGTGACCTGTGCCAGCCAGCTGCAGGATGCCAGCTGGTGTCCCTCACTTCTCTGGGCCTTTGCTCACCACTTCTGAAATGGAGTCGTGCTCAGGAAAACTCCCAGGCCTCTCTCACTCCTTCAGGGGTCTGCTTCTCAGTCTCCTGGGACACCCCACATGGCCTCAAATTCTTAAGGCTGATCCCGATCCTGTGTGGATTTGACCTGGGAGGTTTCTTTCGTGACTCCAGAAGCCCATGGCATGGCCTGCATTGTGCTGAGGCACGAGTGTGAGCACCTTACTGTGAGGGGCTCGGGTGCCTGCCCCACGCTTGCCTCTCACCAGGCTTTGGCACCCTTCTGTGCAGGAGCAGGGACTGTCAGGAAATTGCAAAACCTCTGTTTTTGAAAATAGCAGAGGAGGAAGGCCCTTGCTATGCCGAGTTTGGAAGAGGAAGGCATAGTGCTTGGCCAGAGAGGAGACTTTGGGGCAGGAGGGTGGCATGTCAGCACAGAGGGACTCAGCACAAACTCTGGACAGCAGGGGCTCCAAATCTGGCCCTCCAGAAGAGGGTTGGGTTTTATTTTATTTTTTCTTAATTGCAAATTATTTCAGGTTCTACGCTCTATCCTGGGACCTCTCTGCTTCCTCGTGCTTGTGGAGCTTTAAATATCTCTATGCTGACAACTCCCAAATACCCATCCCCAGCCCAGACCTCTCTCCTGAATTCCTGGCTTGTACAAACAACCCCCACCCAACATCTCAAACCTAACCTCACCTTTCCCCCCATGACCCCTGCTTCAGTCCTGTACCTGTTCATGGCAATGCCACCTTTCCTGTCACTCAAGCCAAAGGTTTTCCTCGACATGCTCTCACATCCCACATCCAGTCAGTACAGCCTATTGGCTCCACCTTTGAAATACACCGGGGTTGACCACCTCTCGTCACCTCCGGTGCCACCACCTGGCCCCACCTGCCCCATCTCTAGCCTGAGTGATCACAGCCGGCTCCTACCTGACCTCCCTGCTTCCTTTCTTTACCCATAGCAGTCTGTTCTGAGCACAGGAACTGGAGTGATCCTGTTAAAACCAAGTCAAATCATGTTCATCCTCTGCCCAAAGCCCTCCTATGGTTCCCACCTCACTCAGAGTAAAAGCCAAGTGCTCGTGATGCACCTCGAGGCCTGACAACAGCCGGCCCCACTGCCTCTCTGATCTCATCTCTTCCTACTCTTTCCCCTGCTCGGCTCCACGGCAGCCACAGGGGCTTCGTGCTGCTTCATGGACATGCCAGACGTGCTCTGACCTTAGGACCTTTGCTCTTGCTGTTTCCTCTGCCTGGGATGCCCTTCTCCAGATGTCCACTTGACCCATTTCTCATCTCGTTCAGGTCTTTGCTCATATGTCATCTCCTTGGACAGGTCTTCCCTGAGCACCCTATTTAAAACTGCTGTCTTCACCTGGCACTGCCCATCTTCTGGCTTGATTTTATTTTTCTACACGGCACTTAGCACCTCCCAACGTACCAAGTTATCTACTTAATAAGTTAGTTCACTGCCCAAGTCTTCCAACTGGAATATATATTCTACAGGGCAAGGATTTGTGGCTGTTCTGTATCACAAGCACTTGGAATATGGCCAGACCACCGTAGGTTCTCAATAAATATTTGTTGAATGATCAATTAAAAATCAGGTTGTTTCTCAAAGATTTGGATTTCTGCTTTTGAAATGGGAAGGCCCGGCACTCCTGGGCCTGCATTTTGACATGGCTACAACTAGCAGGAGCCGAGGTGCAGGTGCCACAGTCTCCACTACTCTTTACTGTCTTCCCTAGAGCCCTTCTCCAAGGACAGCAGCTGAGACAGTTGTGAAGGCTACTGCATGGTGACGATGAGGGTGCAGAGAGAGCCGGGCGCCCCCGAACGTGTGTGTGTAAGGGGTCCTGAAGGACGGGGCTGTGTTCCACACCCGTGGTGAGCATGCCCCTTCCTCCTGGGGCCTTTTCTCCGGGTATGACAAGGGGCATTTTCTTTCAGATTCCCAAAGGGGTCTGTGGCCCTGCAAGACTACCAGCCTCGGTTCCCAGATCTGAGTGTCCTCACCATATGCCTGTCAAGAGGGGGTGGGAGGAGGTTATTTCCATCATCTTCTGGACAGTGAAACTGAGGCCCAGAGAGGGCAAGGTCATATATCATGGGGCCACATGCTTTGAGACCTCCCTTCTTCTGCTCCTGCGTGGGGCAGGAGAGGTCCTCTGGTCGTGTCTGCCCTCAGCGCCCAGGCAGACCCCACTCACCCAGAGGGTCTCCATCCACGATGCTGTACTCCACCTGCCCATTGGGGCCCGAGTCCTGGTCATGGGCCAGGAAGGTCCACACTCTGGGCCCTGGCTGGCCCTCAGTGATGTCAAATGGTCCCTCGTAATACCGGGGGAAGGTGGGCATGTTGTCATTGATGTCATTCACATTCACAAGCACCTGAAACGGGGGACAGGCTCAGCTGGGGCCTCACCCCAGCAGCCCTGTGCTGGGCCCAGCCTCTCGTGGGGCCTCAGTTCCCTCATCTGTGAGCTGGCACTGATCATCCTGCCTCATGGGGCCGATGCAAGAATCACACGGGACAATGGACGTGGGAGGGCCTTTTAAGCTGTGCGTGCAGGTGAGTTATTGTCATCGTTGAAGGCTTTTTATAGGCATAATAGTCATATTAATAATGATGCTATGAACTGCTAATTATTGCTGGACTATGGTCATTTTACATGGTCCCATTGGCTCCTCCCACACCCTGAAACATAGTTTTTATCATCCCCCTTTCACAGGTGAGGAAATTGAAGCTCAGGGAGCTTAAGTGACTTGCCTAGGGTCACAGCTAGGAAGTGGAAGAGCAAGGATTTGAATCCCTGTTGGTTTGACCAAAGTTTATGCTTTTCCCATGAAAGGGAGGAAGGCAGGTGTTGTCACCTGTCTGATAGATATAGCCACACAGAGAGGTTCAGCGACCTCCTCAAAGTCACACAGCAAGTTTGGGTGAGCTGCTGAGACTTGGACAGGGCTCAAGGACTCAGGCATTGTCCCTGGACAATCTTTCTCGACCTCACCCCATTGGAGCTTTCTGGGCCCTGTCCTCCCCCCACCTCCAAGATGGGGCTGTGTCCCACCCACCCACCGTGGTGGTAGAGGTGAGGCGATGGGACAAGATAGGGCACTGGTCCATGGCAGTGATGATCAGGGTGTAGCGGCCATGGCTGATCTCATAGTCCAGCTCCTTGGTGGCAGTGATGACACCCTGGGGGACACAGAGGGAACAGGGTGGACTAATGGGTGGTGGGTCTTGGGTAGCCTCTGACTGACCCAGGAGGTAGGCGCTGACATCCTGACCATGGTGGGGAGTCCCTATTGCCTTCTAGACTGGGCCCCACCCCACCCCACCCATGCTTTCACCCACCCCTCCCCTACTGGATGCCCCCACAGTTTCCTCCACCCTCCATCTTTGCTCTGCCCCCCACGATGTCACTGGACTCCCCACCACCTCTTCCTGGATCCTGCTGTCAGTTGCTGACCGTGTGTCTGTCAATCCGGAAGGTGTTGATGATGTTGCCTGCGACAATGTCGTAGGTAACTGTGCCGTTGGGCCCCTCGTCCAGGTCTAGTGCGTGGATGGTGATGAGGCTGGTGTTGATTGTGTCTGGACCCTCATCCAGCAACACTTCGTAATGGAGTTGCTGGAACACAGGTGCATTATCGTTCTCGTCCACGATGGTCACGTACACGTGGGTGGTGGCCTGTGGAGAAGAACATGGTCAGGTGCCTTGGTTGGGTGGCTAAAGGGATCTGGGTGGATCCAGACGGCCATACTCCTGGGCTGCACTCGGTGGGATCCAACACAGGGAGGGAAGGGGAGAAGAATGCACGAGAGGGAGAGAAGTTTCAGGCTGGTAGAGGAAGAAAGCACAGAGGCTCCTCTGAAAGCCAAGATAGGTAACAGCTTAGGTCCAAGACGGCGCTTGCACCCCCACTGGGTCCATGCCTGTGGCAGACAGAACCAATCAATCGCAGCACTGCTGGGGCCAGATGCAAACTCAGGATCCTTGTCAGCACAATGATCTTGTGATTAAAATTGGCATGTGGGATAAACCCCAGCAATCACCCCAGCCCAGAGCTTTGCCCAGGCTTTACTGACCCTGGGTCCCCTTCCAGACTACAAGCGGCAAGAACGTGAGGCACTCAGCCCGACACCGTGTTCACACTTCACCTACTGTGCATGTAAGTGGAGAAACACATCTTTTCAGAGTTTTTAAGAAAGAGGACACTGCGGTTGGGGCAATTTCATGGGCGCAATTTGTTGAGCTGTGAAAAAGAAAACTCACAAAACACGACTTCACCATAAGAGCAGTTTCTACAAGACGCTCTCCTGTGATTGGCCATCTCAGGCTGATGCTTGGGCCAATCAGAACTTAGCAATCAACACTCAAGAATCTACTAGAAATGGCTGATGTGGTACTTTACAAACAGAGTAGAAAATGGAGACGGAAATGAGCCCTGTGCTGGTATTTCCTGCCCCTCGTGCCATCCTGTCTCCATCCTCTGGCTTTCTCTACCTGGGAGGATGTTTCCTATGAGCAGCCTTACCTGGGTTCCCTTGCCATTTGGTTTGCTGCCGGGACCCTAATACAAACCATAATTCATTATTAATATAAAATAATAAGGTTATAATGACGGCAAAGATGCCTGGGTGGGGAGAATGTGACTACTCCATTGCCAAGGCCAGAGAACACAAAGCAGGTGATACAAAGAGCTGACCGTAGACAATTGTGTACAAATTTTTCCTTTGGCCTGGCTGGCTCTGGAGCCACCTATGGAGAGAGAGACAGATGGGCAGGCGACCTGGACTCAAGAAGGCTGTCACCGCCCCTGAGGAGGTGATGATTCCTCTGAGCTGTAGCTTTGGATCTTGGGGGCGGAGGGTGTTGGGTGGTTGCTGAAACTGTTTCCAAGGCAGGTACATTGGCAGCCTTGAAAAGGAGTCGTGTGACCTTGGGCAGGTCACACCCCATCTCTGGCCCTTTTCTGTTAATAGTTAATAAAGGACCTGACTTGATTGCTCAAGTTCCTTCTAGCTCAGACATTCTGGGGTTCTGGTCGGCTGTCACTGGTCATGTGGACGAAATTCCACCATTAGGGAGGCATTCCTTTGGGTCTTAGAGTTTATGAATTTTTATTAAAATAACAAGCACACGGGGAGGGAAAATGCATTATTTTAACATTTCTCCAACTTTTCCACCAGAGTGGAGAGGGAATTTGCAACATGTTTGGGGAATAGCCTGAACTGCTTGTCTCAAGAATGAAATATCCTCGAAATCTCTTATGTTCTCTTTGAAAGCTCAAATGGATTTTACATCCTTCTCCATAATGTGTTTGTGCTTGTTTTCATTAAAAAGAGAGGTGGGGTCCCCAAATGCTCATGTAGAGATGACTGTCAAGGAAAGCCACCATGTTCATCTTGTGGCTCTGTGGTCCTAGATGCAGCTGTGACTACTCCTTATCTGTGAGGAGACCCCAAATCCTCCTGAGCCCCCTTACTTGCTGGTAAGAGCACGAGAGCACCACCTGGCCAGAAAGGGGCTGGACTCCAGCCTCACCAAGGAGGGTGGCCCCCCTTTCCCAGACTCACTTCCCGGAATCCCTGGAAGTGGGTCTAACCATCGTGCAGGCTGCAGGGGCCGGGAGTGGGGGTTCTGATAGAACTGCCTCTTGGAGCCCCTCCTGCTCTGACCAGGCCGGGGCGGGGGTGGGGGAAGGTGGGTCTGACTTCCTCTGGCCTCTGGAGTGAGAAGGAAGTCAGTGCCCCAAAAGCCCTCTCAACTGAGCCCTTCCTGCCCTGCTCTGCCCTGGCATTGAGGAAACAGTGCTTGAGGTTTCTGGATCATGCCCATTGGGCAATGCCTCTGTGTTTGACCGTGATGCAACCCCAGGAGGCTCAGTGGGCAGTGTGGTGGTGATGAAGAAAGTGGAAAGCGGGACTGGGCCCAGTTCAGGTGCTCTAGCCCTCTGGAAGGGCTTGGCATGGCAGCTGCTCCCTCCCTCTGAGCACAGGCTTTTTCCACCTGCTAGGCCCTAGGGCAGAGGGAGTCTGGTGTCAAGGGTGGCCAGGGCAAGGCCAAGCCAGGAAGGAGTGGCGGGAGGTGCTCTAGGGTTTCACCCTTGAGTGATCCCACCTCACTTTTGCCATAGGATAGCCAGGGTAGGACGAGGATCCAGTGCCTACCAGTTGGCTCTGTACCTTCCCTGGGTGAAAGAGAGCTCACACTCTAACAGCAGGAAGGGTCCTGGGTTGTCTCCCAAGGTGGGGTCACAAGGCCAGGATCATGCCCAAGAACCTGGGTTAGGTCCTGGCAGTCTCTGGGGCTCCCATGCCTGGCTCCAGGGGAACTGGGTCAGTACAAGGTCACCTAGTATAACATGGCACCCTATTCTTCCTCTGTTGTGGCCTTTCCTGACCCAGGAGTAAGGGCTGAGAGCCCCCAGAGAGCCTGTGACTTGGATCAGGCCACCCAGGGGGCACCCAGATGTCCTGGCTCCCATTCAGTCCCACTGCACTGATTCCTGATCCCAGCTGGACTCTGGCTGGACTCTTCCTTCATCCTGGGAGTCACCTATGAACTCAAGATACCTAAGGGGCCAGCAAAACCCCTGGAAACGTCACCTAGGCTGGGGTAAATTGGGTAAAATGGCCGTGTCCTCCCTGTCCCCTGGTCATTGTCCCCTCCACTCCTCATTCAGGTGCTCACTTACTCATTTAGTTTGTCCATTCAGGTAAGAGTGTGGTAAATACCTTCTCCACGACCAGCTATGGTTCAGGCACTCAGAAACATCAAGGAGAGGCCATGGTCGCCAAAAGCTCCTAGTTTACCTGGGGAAGGCAGAAGAGCCCGGGTGAAGAACCAGCTGGTTGCTAACCTCCGGCCCGGTGTGATAACCAAAGGGGGGTGGACAGTAAGGACAGAGGGGGACCCTCAAGGGAGGGTCAGGGCACTTTGTGAAGAGAAAAGACCTGAGCTGAGCCCTGAGAGACGAGAAGAATTTGGAGGAGAGGAGAGGAAAGGAGACATGCTCAGTGGTGCCGACGGGGCACAGGGGTGCAAGAGTGGAGGCACTGGGAGGAAGGGTGCCTGAGAGGGTCCTGCGGGCGTCCAGGGCACCATGGAGTGAGAGCTGGTGCACAGCTTGAGGGACAGCTGGGCCTGTGAGGGAGAGGAGCTCAGATGATACTCTGTGGTACACACCAACAGATATTGCACACACACGTGCATGTCCCTGTGTAGGGCTGTGCTGAGCCTGCTGTGTGCTGCACCTGTTTCGTGTGTGTGTGTGTTCACACATGCACAAGGGTATCAAGGGCTCTGACTACTAGCCAGCTCCAACTTGCCTAAATCTTCACAAATGTTGGATTTCTTCTCTCTCTCTCACTCTCTCTCTCTGTCTTTCATTGACTCTTTCTGCAACTGGGAGTGCCTACTACGTACCAAGCCCTGGGTTGGCTGGAGGATGCAGGGAACAAGTCCGTGCCCCCGGCAGGCACAAACTATGGTAACATGTGCCATGGTACATTAGACGTGGCTCTAGTTTTCAGTCCGTGCCACAATAATCCTCCTCTCCGGAAAGGACTGGGGGAGAGTAGAAGGGGCTTTAAACCGGCTATCTGCGTGGAGCGGCCTCGCCGCCCACGGGCCGGCGCTGGGGCAGGCAGTGCCGCCCGCGGCCCCCGGGGGGCGCTGCGGGGGCCGGGAGCGGGCTGAGCTGGGCCGC